AAAAAAAAAAAGAAACCTATTTATCTTAAGAAAGAATTTATAAACCAGATTTGGCACCATTACATACAGTAACAAAAAAATTGATGTGAGTTAGATAAACTACATTATATTCAAATAAAAGATTGTCACATTAGTTACTGAATGATGTTCCTGGAAGGTGAGTCCAATTTCTTTCTCCAGCTGCACAACCCTGTTAAAGTGGTTCCTGTACCTGTCACCATGTCTTTAAAAAAATGTTACTGAAAAGTAGTTAATAAGGGGAAAAGTGGACACAAAAAACTTCTCATTTGTGTCAAACACCCATAACCCTTTTAGAGAAGAAAATGCAACTATACGCATTGAGACTCTATTTTCTCCTCACATTGCTGGTACAGTTAGCAAGTATACTCTCCATAAATCTCAGGTTATTAATGAGTTAGTATGAATGAAATTAATATTCTTACCGTTTCATACTGAGCAATTCAATCGGTTGTCGAGCAGCCAATCTTTCAAATTCATTTCTCATTATGTCGGTCTGATGTATAAATTAGAGAATTATTTCCAAGATCTTATCAACACATTGAAATTAATAATCAGTTAAAGAAAACAAGTTATACTTTATACTACTGTAAGGGATCATTTCTCTTCACCCAATTCACTTCCATCCTTCCTCCCTCTCTCCTTTCCTCCCTCCCTTCCTTAGTACTGGGGTTTGAACTCAGGGTCTTTGAACTGAATACGCGCTCAACCCTTTTTATTTTGAGAAGGTCCTGCTAACTTGCCCAGGCTGGGCTTGAACCTTCAACCCTCCCACCTCAACCCCCTAGAGTGCTGGGAATACAGCATGCACCACCACAGCCAGCTTCTTTTTTTTTCTGTGCTCAGGATTGAGCCCGGAGCACTGAACATGCTAGGAGCATGCTCTACCACTGAGCTATACTGTTGAAATATACAGCAATTCTTCTTAGATTTAAGTGCTCTTTACAGTCTGAAGAAACATCCACTTCAATTCGATACATAGCCTGGGGCAAGAAATTTGGTGTAAGAGGAAAGGATCAATCCTAAATCCTTTTCAATCTCAGCAGCACACTGCAATCAGTTGGGGAGCTCTGAAACCAATTCTGATCCTAGCCCAGTCTACTCCTCTCACTCCCAGTTACAGGTCTGAGCGGGAGCCTGGGCAGGCTTGTAACTTTTTTTTTAGTGGTGGTGCTGGGGACTGAACCTAGGGTTTGGTCCTGCCTTACTCACAAGCTGATTGTCAGAGGAAGCCAGTGTACGATACCATGAACCTAAATACTTTCTGACAACGGCAGGAAAAGAGGAGAGGTCTTAAGGCATAAAGTAATTTGCTTTCAGTCTATGAACCTAAACCAATAGTTCTTTTTGTTTTTGTTGTTTTTTTTTCCGGTACTGGGAATCAAACTCACGACCTTGCGCTTGCCAGGCAGGCGCTGTGCCGCTGAGCTAAATCCCTCGCCCCTCAATACTTCTTTTTGGTCCTGGCTTCTATTTTCACTTTGCTCTTTGCAAACAATGAGGAGAAAAGGAACATGGGAGAGCCTCTGTCACTGAATAAAATAATTTAGAGATGATACTTTACATTTCATTTGGCTGTTTTGATCCTAACTAGTATCTTGGCTGGACTTCTAGGTGGTACATACTTAGATACCGCTTTGTTCAGTCTTTCCAATCCATTTGGTGAGTATCTAGGCTTTGATAAAAGGCCTCCCTCTAGCGGTTCTAAAGACATCAACAATTACGCTTGTATATATATTGAAAAACTCAGGTCTCCTGCTGTAGGGTGTCCTTAGAAGATGGTTTCTCTCAGAATTTACACATGAATTCTCTCTTACAAAAGGTACATAAAACTCTGCACTAAGAGTTTGCGAGCTCTGTAATGAGTCCATCTGCGGAGCTCCAGAACTCTGAAGAAGGTCTATCTGGCTGTTGTCAATACATGAACACCTGTAAGACGTGCAACTGGGGCCAGAGATGTAGCTCAGCGGCACTGCGCCTGCAGGTCCTGAGTTCGATTTCCGGTTCAAAAAAAACAAAAAGAGACGCGTAACTAGAAGCTAATAAGCAAGTAATAGCTAAGCTGGGAACTATTTAGAAGACTTCCACGTAGCTAAAGCCCTCCATCCAAAATAAAGGTTCACAAGAACTCTCCTTCGCACGCTGGGCTCAAAGCATCACTTACCTCAAAAGCGGAATAATCCGGGGCTGTCAGGTAGCTCAGGTAATTCTTCGTGGGTCGGTATCTGCGCGTCTCCTCCTCTACCAGCGCCGCAGCCTAAGAACGAGAACAGGGGAGCGGTAGAGCATGCAAAGCCCGCACTCACCCCGCACGTACCCCGACACCCCGCACTCACCGCTTCGCGCACGCCTGGCGCTTCATAGCCTTGATCAAAATACGGCAGCGCATCCACCACTACCTCTCCGGCCACCAAACCCGTGCCCGCCATCACGAAGAACCGACGCTCCCCTAACCACAACACGGTCAGCCCTGTTTAATTACGTCTGCGCGCGACGGTGATGTAATCACGTCGCCTGCGTGGCGACTTTGGCGCATGCTCAGTTGCTAAATCCGTAGGCGCGCTAGCTCGGTAGCTAGAAACCGCCCGGTTTTGTTGGGCGGACGTGACGTCTAGTCCTGACTTCCCGGAGGCCCCCCCAAAGACCCCAACTTCCCTTCTTCGGCCAGTCCCTTTTTTTTTTCTGTGGCCTGCGGATGGCAGCAATCGAGTGGAACTGGAATTTTTCGTCTCCTCCTGGAAGGAGAGCCCTGTAAAGCTTGTGGAAGAAACTGGTTATAAGAGTTGTCCGGAAGAGCTGGGCGTGGTGGTGCACGCCTGTAATGCCAGCACGCGGGAGGCTGAGCCTGGAGGACTGCCGCGAGTTCGAAGCCAGCCTTGACTACATAGTGAGACTCCCGTCTCAAAGACAACAATGAACCCCCCCCCAAAAAAAAACAACAAACAAAAACCAAAAAGACCAAGATATGTTAGGAAGAAAAAAAACTGGCTTCTGCTGGGCATGGTGACGCAAGCCTTTAATCCCAGCACTCAGGAGGCTGAGGCAGGAGGATCGCTTGAGTTCGAGGTCAGCCTGGGCTACATCGTGAGTTGAAAGTGAGCCTGAACTGGGAGACACTGTCTCAAAACACAACAAAAAAAAAACCATAAAAAAACTAAACAAAAGTGGTTTCCAACCTTGATTTACTCGTTAACCCACTACTTCCTCCACCAGCGCCTCCCTCCTCCCTCTTTTAGTGCCGGGTTTCGCTCTTGCACTTTCTTGCTGTATCCCTACTATTCTCACTTGGTGCCCTGAAAGTTTTTCTCCTGGGTGATTTAAAGTTCTATTAGAATTGCGAAGCTTTAAGGCTTCCTAACCAAAAAAAAAAAAATCGAAATCTCCCTGCAATGCGAGATTGATAACTGCCCGCACCTCACCTCGCTTTTAAAAGCTCTGCCATTTTGCCTTTGGAGACTAGAAAACCAACCCAGTGGCTTTGCTTCAGGACTCAGTGGTAGTACTAGCTCTCTTCCTGCCTCCCAACCACTCGCGCTACTGCAGTACACTTTTCTACTGGCTCCCAGACTAAGCAGCCTCCCTCTAACTAAACATGTAAAGAAAAAACGATCGTAACAGGTATTCTGCCCCGTGTGCAGTCTAGCTAGCCTTTGTGCTGAAAGCCTGGAAATGCTGGCCACAGTTACTAAACCTGTTAAGATGGAGTCAGATTCTCTTTCTAATTTGCCATTAGGTAAATGTGCCACCTATCTGTACATTTAAGTGATATAAAAGATCTTTACATTTCAAGCAATTTATTTCAAATTCTCCAAGAGATATATGAGATTTTTATGTCTTCATTAAAAGATCTGTAAACATTTTATACAATTCTCACGCAGTTCTTTTACAAACATGTCCGGAGTTCACAATACTTTACAAAAATCGAAACGCAACAGACATAAAGAAAGGAAGCAGCTTCAGACTGCGGGAGAACATAACACTCAGCCCTGAAGCAAAGTCTCCCTGCAGAGGGACAGGCAGGATCTCCCCCAGGAAACCCTCCTACACCATTTTATAAAGTCTCATCTCTAACTGTTCCTTCAAGGCTGGAGTGTAAGAGACCAAATGGGGAGATGTTTGATAGGTGCCCCTCTGGTGTAAGCTGCTTAATCAACATTTAAAAAGACAGGCCCAGTCCCTGGACTCACATCTGCAGGAACTGTATTACACAGCACCAGTTTTACATGGTGTCTGCTTTAGATTCATTTAAGCACACCTGACTGGCTTATTTTGACAATCATATACAAGTCAGTAAATTCTGTCACAAGGCCACTTACAAGGTTTTATAAATTTGAATGAATATATTCTATGCCAGTTAAAACCATGAACAACAGTTGAACAGCTGATATTTGCTATAACATTTATCAACAAATACTGCATCACTGACAGCCTCCTCTTTGCAGTCACTACTGCTGATGGGCGTGGTGGTGCACACCTGTAATCTCAGCACTCAGAAGGCTGAGGCAGGAGAATTGCTTCAAGTTTGAGACCAGCCTGAGCTACAGAGTGAGTTCAAGGCCAGCCTGAACTGCATAGAGAAACACTGTCTCAAAAAGACAAAAATAAAAACCAATCACTACTGCTTCTGTAGATATTAAAGATCTAGATGATTAAGTAGTATATGCTCAGGAAATATTCATATTCTGAGTCAAATTAAATTAGAGCAAAACTCCAACAATTTTAAGGGAATCTCACAGTAGGTCGGCACGGTAGCGGTGCACACCTGCAATCCTAGCACTCTGGGCGGCTAAAGGTAGAGGATTGAAAGTTGGAGCCCTGGCTAGGCAATTTAATGAGATCTGGCCTCAAAATTAAAAAGTGGTGGGGATGTAGCTCAGCGTAAAGGCCCTGGGTTCATTCCTTAGTACTATACCAAAAAAAAAAAAAAAAAAAAAAAAAAAGTCTCATGCTGGAAGTATAACAGTGATAAAGCGCTTCCCTGGCATTTGCAAATCCCTGGATTCTATTCCCATCCCACTAAAAGCAAAGGGGGAAAAAAGAAAGCCTCATTTAAATACTTATAAAGTCCTTTATCCTCAGAGCTGAGGTGGCTCTGGTACACTTAATAAAAAAAAAACTTTAAAATAGCTACAATCCTACAGAGTTCATATTTTCACCTCTAAGACTAACCAAGTTTTTGTGTTCATAAAATAAAAGTCTTTACTTCTATCTGAATTGTATAACTGGATAAGTCACTTAGTCTCTTTGATCACAGTTTCTTCTTCAGTAAGGCAGAGACAAATATCTGGGTTGACTTAAGGCCTGAATAAGATGACTGACATACATACACTACAATGCATGCCAAATGGTGGACACACACAAGTAGTAGTTCCCATGTCCTTGAAAGGATTTTTTTTTTGAGACAGGGTCTCACCATGTAGTTCACGCGGGCCTCAAAATTCATGATAATCCTCCTGCCTCAGCCTCCCCAGTCCTGGGATTACCGGCATACACCACCACACCTGGCTGAAAGGATATTTTTGTTGTAACCATTATATGCAAACTGTAATGTTGACATGTGAGGGACAAGCTACTCAAGTGCCGTACATTGTGGAGGAGGAGCCTCAACATCTCCACTTTTATAAATATCCAGTAACAAGGTCTTCCACATACAAGAGATTCCCTTTGACAGGACATTAGACAAAAAGAGAGACAAATGATGACTATGTCTCAGTTTGTAAGTTCAAACAACTCATGGTTTTACCAACATTTTTATTTTACTTTGAGACAAGGTCTCACTCTGTTGCCCAGGCTGCACTCAAACTTCATGATCCCTCTGGCTCAGCCTCCCAAGTAGCTGGAACTACCGGTGGTGGCACAGCGCCCCGCTGTTAGCCCCCGGCCTTACGGCTGCCGTGATGTTTCCGGGAGGAGAGCTGTGTGTGTAAGGCTAGTCGCTGCCGTTTCAATCGTGCCTCTCTAGCACCCCAACCCCTGCCTTTCTTTCATCAGACTCATCTTTAAGCTTTTTATTTTAAAAAATATTTAATAACAGCTTTCCCCTTGTAAAGACAATGGCCTTCACAGACTAAGCATACAAAGAATAAGCCCCAGAATCAAACAGAAAAGGCCGGTATAAAAAAAAAAAATTGGAAGCGTAGAGAGCATCAGTTCCAGCCCAACAATTCTCCAGGGACTGCAGCAGCAGCAGCAGCAGCAGCAGCAGCAGCAGCAGCAGCAGCAGGTCTTCCTCCGAGAACCTGACTGCTCCTTCACCTTTCACAATTCCAAGGATTTCGTGGAGTACTTCAAAGGCATCCTGACCCTTGGAGAAACATTTTCTCTGGCACTTTTCATTCTATTTAAGATGGAGACAAAGATTCATTTCTTCTGCAGAAATTTCATCTTACTTCCTAAAAGGAGAAAGAGGTAGAGTGAACTCTCCAATTATTTTTGTTAACTGTGTATTTTTTGAGGCCATGCATTAACAGGCAAGTCATTCAGAACAGCCCAGGAGTTAAGCTGCCCTCTCCAATCCCCCAAAGGCCCATGTGTCAGGGGGCTGGTCTCCAGCCTGGCACTGCTGGGCAGTTTGGAACCTGTAAGAGGTGGAGCCTACTGGGAGGAAGTCTGGCTATGTTGATGGGCTGTGTCCTTGCCAGGAATACTGGGATCCTGCCACCTTCCTGCTCTCTTTGCTTCTGAGCTGTCATAAGGTGAGCGGCTTTCTCTGCCACACTGTCCTATCATGAGGTACTGCCTTGCCAGAGGCCAAAAGCAGTGAGGGCCAAAGGACCATGGAACAAAATCTCTACAATTATGAGCCAAAAGAAACTGTCCCTCTTTTTTTTTTTAATGCTCCTGGGGGTTGAGTACAGGGCCTTTGCACTGAACTACATCCCCAGTCCATTTTTGTGACAAAGTCTTGGTAATTTGCCCAGGCTGGGCTCTAACTTATAAAACTCTTGCCTCAGCCTCTGAAGGTGCTACGATTGCAAGTGTGTGCCACCATTCCCAGCTTTTTTTTCTCTTTTTAAGTTGATTACCTTGAGCATTTCTTACAATAATGAAAAGGTGACATATCAAACAATCAGCGAATGTGTTCAGTCACCAAAAAACCCAAGTGTCTTAATTGGAGAGGCAAACAGGAAGCCAGACATAATCTAATCCAGTGGTTTTCAACCCTGACTGTATATTAAAATTACCTTGGGGCTGGGGATTTAGCTCAGCGGCAAAGCGCCTGCCTGGCAAGCGCAAGGTCGTGAGTTCGGTTCCCGGTGCCGGAGAAAAACCAAATAAAAAAAAAAATAAAATAAAAAAAAAATAAAATTACCTGATTTACTTCCCAGAGATTTTCTGGAATGCAAGGGAATTTTTTTCTTTTTGGATGGCAATGAAGTTTATTTGAAAAAGTAGAAGATTGTGAGGGACAGCTGGGTATAGTGGTGCACACCTATAATCCCAGCACTTGGGAGGCTCAGGCAGGAGGCTCAAAGTGAGTTCAAGGCCAGTCTGAACTATATAGCAAAACCTTACCTCAAAAAAAAAAAAAAAAAAAAAAAAAGAGGGAGAAACTGGCTCTGTAGAGCAAGCTTGGGCAGAGTAAAAGAGGCAAAAAGCAAGATAAAAGAACACCCTAGAGGACAAAAGGTGGACTACTGTTATGGTCACCCCAAAGTCTTATGCAGTGTTAGACAGGGCTTTTCCAGAAGGTGGCTGAGTCTAGTTTGTGACTGATTTGTGGTACAATGCTAGGATTAAGGGTGGGTGACTGCTGGAACAGTCCACTGACTGAATTGGCACAGCCCTAATCCCAGGAGACTGGATACAATATAAGGGACAGAAAGAGGCTGGTCTCCCCCTTCCCCGGCTTGCTTTTGCTGTCTTCTGATGCCACGAACGGTTTTCTCCTCAGGAATGCCCTTCTCCCAAGCCACCCTGCCTTGGAGCCAGCCATTGTGGACTGAAACCTTTACAAATTGTGAGCTGAATAAACCTAGAAAAGTAACTAAGACAGCTATTGTGAGGAAAGCCACTATAGCCATCCATGAAGAAAAATATTAAAGGTCCAGTAGCTTGCTATTAGAGCTAAGAACCACTGATCTAATCTAAACCGGAGGTATAAAGATGAAATAACAGCCAAAAGCATAATTTGTCAATGTTTTCTCAGCTCATTAAAGATACCACTAAATTAGGGGCATCTATTTTAAAGATTAGTATACATACTATAGAATATGGGTTCTTTGTTATTTTGTACTAGCCATGCTACTGTTCCCTGCTATCAGACTGAATAACCCTAACTGAAAGGTCATAAAGAATTGTAAAATTAAAGACTTGCAAGATGTCTTCTTTTGTCTTAGAGTCCCTAAAAACTAGCTGTGTTTAATCTGGAGTTCATAGATAGGCTGGGGGGGGGGAGTTCCACAAATAACCTAAAAATACACACAATATTCGTGTGTTATAAGTGTATTTTTCTGGGAAGAGGGTTTTTATGAGCTTCTCCAAGGGCTATAACCTGAAAAAGATTAATAATCATGATATGGAAATATATAATAAAGGGATAGTTCAGAGATCTTCATGTAAGGGAAGTACTAAGAACATGCTGATGAGGAATCCTAATCTCTTGAGGGCTTTTTCCTCCAAAACCTGTTGGAATTAGGGTCATGATTACTGGCCAGCCTACTAGAGGTGACAGTGCTGTCTGACTACAAAACCTTTGAGGGAGTCACTGATGAGGAGGTAATCTACTATTTTTTGCAGCCCTTGGGCTGTAACTACCTGTTGGATCTTTCTTGCATATCTTTGTTTTCCTGAGAAACCACTTTGAGGATGCCAACATGTATTGCAGCAGCCATTGCTGATTTCCTACCAATCTGTCCATAACTCTGTAATGTTTGTATTGTCCCTATGCTATTTCGTACATGGATGTATGTTTGTTACTATGTGTTTTCAACAACAACCATTGAGAACAGTCCATGATTATTTGATTGATCACTCAAGTATAGCTCGTATTTGTTTTCCCTAGAGCCCACTTTGGAGAATCGAGGCTATAGTATAACAACCATTGATAATTTGCTGCCATTTTTGTCTGTAACTCACTATTATTTGTCTATTTGTTTTCCTGAGAAACTATCTTGAAGATAACAATATGTAAAAGAATAACCACTGATAATGTCCTACCACTTTGTCTGTAATTCGGTGAATCTCCCTATTGCCATGTTGTCCTTCTTTTACTCTTTAAAATTAAAAAAAAAACCTTTGAGATGAAGCTTGATTACTGAAAAGCTTTTTTTAGCCACATTTAACCAATAGGAGAACAAAGCAACTCACCAAGACTCCGCAAAATTCTGTTCACCCCACTAGGCTCAGACTCAGGAATTGTTTCCAAATACTGGAGAGCCCGAACCTCAAACAAACCTAGGAAGAAAACTCGTGTTGGTGAAACTGCTGCATACACAGACTGGAGCTTAATTAAATAAAATTCTGTTCTCATTAGCAGTGTGCTATTTCTATGGCTAAAACATTATTGCAAAGTAAATAATTCCCACAATAAACAATTTAGATTTTGAGCCCTTATAGATTCACAGTGTTTTTTTTTTTATTGTTCATATTATATTCAAACCTTTCAAGCACTCCTTGAATAAAGAGGAAGAACTCTATCACAGAAACCGACCTTTAACCCCACTCTTCCGAAGCTCTCGGTCCTGGATGAATCCTGCAAACATCTGAGTCTCCATGAAGAGATCGAGGAAGTGGCGCACACTTCGGGAAGTGTGGGACTTACGAAACGGCTCCCTTTGGAATACACGCTCCCCACGCTCGGTGACAGTCATATTCAAAGAATAATGTCCCACCAGCTCCACAAAGAACCGCACAAAGGCTTCAGACACCAGAGAATTGAGCGTAACATCTGTTGCAAAATGAAAGAAAAAAATAAAAGAGAAAAATTCTTTAAGTTTTGCATATCTGAAAACACTGGCTCTAGTTACGGAAGTCAGAGCTATAAAGTCAACAGATTAAAGGACTGAAAATAAATTCGGGGATGCTCATTCTTTGTTTTTCTACGTGATTCCTGACCAGCAAAAAAAAAAAAAAAAAGCTTAATATCCTGGCCTTTATTTTCTTCCCACACATGCTCTATCAGACCTTAAACCCCCGTTTAGATAGCTGTGATTTCTCTGGATCTGCTCTTGCCAAGGCCTCTCCTGAGAACTTACCAAATTTAATTTGCTTTTCGATTTTTATCCTTCTCTACTCCATGCTGCACTTGTGCCTAACACCTCATTTTTCTCATCTCCATCCACTTTACGTTCTGATTTCCTCATTCCCATCCTGCCTTCACTTATGACCAAGCATTTGTTTTTATCTTGCCTCTTCCTGTTCTTGAGCATGGTCTTCACACTACTTCTCTTCAGCATTCTCTCCCATGAAGACCTAACCGACCCGAGACAGAGCAGTTATGCTGGTGAACACCAATCTTCGATGTCCAGCTCTGATATTCAGCCTTCTACATTTTTAGGATATATATGACTGATCATGATTTGGCTGGCTCTTTTGCACATAAATTTCATGTCTAAAAGTCACCATATCAGGTTCTTTTTGGACTATGGTGAATCAAATAAAACACATCTAAAAAAAACCACATCTAAAATCAAATCCCCTTTTTCATTGTCCCAATAAAGTCCTTTACAGAACAATTTAAATCCGTTATACTTCTCTACTGTTAAGGTTTGAATCTGGAGTGCCCTCCAAAGGCTCACGCATTAAAGGGTGTCCCTAACACAGCGAAGTCTGAGGCAGGGCTTTGGAAGGAGGTTAGATCGCAGACCAAGTACCCTCGGGCTAATCCACTGATAGGTTCACAGTGTGGTGGCACCGCTGGGAAGCGATGGAGATTTAGAAGGCAGGACCTGGCGGAATGCAGTAGGTAACGGTGGCATGTCCTTGAGGACTCTACCTTGCCCCTGCTCCTTTTTCTGTGGTGCTCACTCTTGTTTGCTCTCTCTTCCCCTCCCTCCTTCCCCCTCTTCACCGCTTTCCTCTCTCTCCCTCTCTCCCCTTGCCCTCCCCCATTACCCCCTTCCTTCCTTCCCTCCCTCTCTCTGCCTCTGTCTACTTCTGGGCCACCATGAGGTAAGCTTTGCTTTACCACAACCTTCTGCCACAAGGTACTACCTCACCACAGGCTATGAAACAATGGAGCAAGCTAACCATGGACAGATACCTCTGAAACCATAAGCCAAAATAAACCTCTCTTCCTGTGGTTTATCTCAGGTATTTTGCAACAGTAACTGACAGAAAGCTAACATACCCGGTTTTCCTAGTCATTTTTCCATCCCACATTACACCGTGATTATCCCACAAAGTAAGAATTTATTTGGTACTAAGATATATCAGGCATTACATGCAGTGAGTTTATAAATACAATTTATAAGCTTATGAGGTAGGTATCAGCAGTCCTCTTTCATAGGTAAGGAAACAGGCTTCAAATGGCCAAAGGAATTTTTTAGGGTCCCCCTTAGATGTCCATGGAGATGCTGAGCCTCCAAGTCAGGTGACTGCTAACACCTAACCCTATACCATATATTATAATATATTGCTTTCCAGGTCCCAGGCTAAAATCTCAGTTTCAGATTCAACACAAGACTCCCCTTTTCTTCCATATCCACATAGTACTTTTTTCCCCTTCACCATGTCTCTGGCTGTTTTTCATGGTCTCTGCCCTGGACTGGGAATTAGTGACCTAAGTTTAGTCAGAGTTCTACCAAAACACAGGTGTATAAGAGGGGATCCCTCCCGCTACCTCTCTTGGGCTATTCACGTCCATGTTGCAAGGAGGGGCTCACTTCTGAGGTCTCTCACTGATTACAACTTGTTTCTAACCTAGGTTTCTGTTATACGTAACAAACAGACTCTCAACTCCTTCTGCAGTGAGAATGCACAGCCCGCCACTGCACTTATCTCCGACATCTTCCCTCATTTCTCCACCCCTTCCAGTTGCTGCAGCAGTTTCTTACAAGAGTTGTATCCATTTTCTTACTTCTAAATTCCTTTCCTTTAAAAAATTGTCACCAGGCATGGTGGCGCATGCCTATAAGCCCAGCACTAGGGAGGCTGGGGCAGGAGGGTCACTGAAAGTTCGAGACCAGCCTGAGCTACAAAGTGAGTTCAAGGCCAGCCTGAACTGCATAGTGAAACTCAGTTTCAAAAAGAAAAAAAAAGAAAAAAAGGAACACTGTGAGTTTCTTTTCCACTGTTTGTTTTTATTTTAATGTATGTAGTTTATACATTCTTTTACATGTATGAATATTTGGGTGAAATGAACACAGCTTAGAAAGAGAACATTACTAATCTCTGAAGCTCCCTGTTAATCTCCTACTGTCCAATAGGCGGCGATCATCATTTGGAATTTCGTATTTGGTATTTTCCTGCTTAAGAGTAGTTTCACTACACACGTATCCAACCCTAAAACACAGTGTTTAGTTCGCCTATGTCTTTTATATTATGTAAAACTTCATATTCAACTTACTGTTTCATTTAATGTTTTTAATATTCATTTTCAATGTTACAGTTTCCTATTGATGGACATTTATTTTTAGTTTTTGCTATCACAGAAAATGCAACTATGAAAATTATTGTACTTATTATTTCCTAGAGATCATATGCAATAGATTCTCTAGGGTATACATTTAAAAACTGAGTTGCTAGGTTGTAAAACATGTCTCCCTTTAACTTCAGTAGGGAATGCCAACTCAGTTTTTACAAAGTGACAGGATGAACTTACACATCTTCATCACCCCTTGAGATTGACAAACTTAAATTTCTGCCAATATGGTAGGTATAAAAATGGTATTGCATTTTTATGAGGTTTTAATGATTTTCATGAGGTTTTATATCTTTTCACATGTTGCTACACTTTTCATGTTTCCTCTTTTCTCTTTTAGCCTGGGAGTCGGGCCCAGGGATTTGCACATGCGAACCATGTGGTCTTCCAAAGAGCCGCACCCCCAGTCCTACGTTTCTCCTTCTATGCTATTTGTTCATATCTTTCTCTCAGTTTCTATGGGGTTGTTTGTCTTTTTATTGACTTGTAGGTTTTTTTAATAAGAAGGAAAGATTTCATTTAGGTCACAATTTGTAGTATCAAAAGTCTAATTCTAGCCAGGCATGGTGCTGCACACCTGTAATCCCAGACTCAGGAGGCTAGGGCAAGAAGATCAGCATGAATTCAAGGTCAGCCTGCGGTACACAGCGAGTTCAAGGCCACCCTGGAATACATTGTAGCAAGACCTTGTTAGTTGTATTTGTTGAGAGAGTCCTCTATTACTTCATAGTTTGCTTTTTATTTCTTTTCTATGGTGTCCCTTGATGAAAAGAAATTTTAAAGATTTAACATAGTCTTGGAAGGCTTTTGCATTAAAGGCTAGCCTAGCCTACATACGAGTTTAAGGCTGGTTTGGGCTGTATAGTGAGACCCTGTGTAAAACAAAGCAAGATGTAACATGGTCAAATTAACTAATCTTTTCCTTTACAGCCTGTGCTCTTGTGCTGTATTTTTAAGAGCTATCATTGTTTTAAGTACATTGAATATTATTCTCTTTTTAAAAAAATCTTAAAGCTTTGATTTTAACAATTAAATTCACTAGAATTAATTTTAGGTATAGTGTGATATGTAGATCTATATTCATTTCTTTTCAAATGGAAGACCGCCTGCCCCACTATCACTGACTACACGCATCCCCCTTTCTCCAAGGATGCGCACTGCCAACACAGACACCCGTCAAGGCCCCGGCGCTGCGCATTCTCCATTCTCTCCGCTGCCCCACTTATTCCTGCACCAAAGCGGAACTATCTTAATTCCTACGACTTTATCATAAAACTTGATGTGTAACAGTACAAACACTTCAGTTTATTCATTTTCGAGGATCTTTTAGCTACTCTTCGCTAAGAATGGCTGTATTTCTACTTAACATTTATAATCAGCTGAATGGTATTCAAACTGTCTCTAGATTGGTTTGGTTTTATTTGGTTTTTGGATACAGGTCTTTCCACATAGTTCAGGCTGGTCTTGAGCTTACTGTGTGGCCCAGGCTGGCCTTGAACTCAAGCTAATTCTTCGTTCTCAGCCTCTCAGGTACTGGGATTACAGGTGTGTGCTACTATGCCTGCTCTCCAATTCTCTCTTGAATCCTCTCCAATCTCATGTTCTTCTTACCATTCTACCAAATGCACTATTATCAGGGCCTCTGGACCCTTTATATTATCAAATTTTACTGATCAATTTTCAGTCCTCATCTTACTTGATCTTTTTGCCATGTTGGGCATGGTTGTTCACTCTCTCTTTCATGCAATATTTTCTGCTCTCCACTTCTGTAATATTGCACCCCTATTTTTTTCTTTTCTTTTTTTTTTTTATGTCTCTTCCCAATATTCCTGTTTTTATGTTCTTTTCCTCCACCCTTTCTGAGTTTTTCAATAGCTGCTTCTCTCAGTCTCCTTTCGTAAATCTTTCCTTTTTTCCCAACCTCCCAATGTCAGAAATCTAAGCATATCATCCCCAATCAACCCAGAGCCCAATACTTAAATCTTTGCTACTTCCTTCCTGTACTATTCTATCAGGTCATTTCATCTGGTCCCACAACTTTAAAAACAGCAATTTCTAATCGTGTATCGTTAGCCCAAATCCTTCCTCTGAATCTGAAATGCACATATACAAATGCCTACTTAACATCTCTAGATGGATGTCTGCAAAGTATTGGATGTCCAGTTAGTATCTCAGACTTAGTGGCCAAAATGAAACGTCTTAGTACTCATCTAAAACTGTTCCCCATCAGTAAACAGCCTTAGTTTTCTCACCTGTGGAGATTAAATAACACTACCCGCTTCAAAAGGTATTACAAAGATGAAATAAAATGTATGCTAAAGGTTTAGCATAATGCCTGCCACAGAGTATGCACCCAATAAATATTATTGGCCCATTTACTCAACAAATACTTATTAAGTAGCTGGCAAATACTATTTAAAAGGCAGGAGACAAAGAAAGAAATGAAGACACTATTCTCATGGAACGTACACACCAGCACATCAGAAGGTGATGCAAGCCGTGGGAAACCTGAAGCTAGGAGAAGCTGCATGTGCTAGGAGAACGGGTGCCATTCTAAACAGCACACTCAGGAGGAACGCAGTGAGGAAATGACACATGACCACGGGTCTACAAGAAGAAAGGACAGGAGTCAGGCGACTATCTGGAGAACAGCATCTGCAAATGTAATGCAAAGGCCCCACAACGGCAGACCCCCTCATGTACTGAAGATCAGTACGGCACAGTGGTGCACGCCTATAATCCAGCACTTGGGAGGCTGAGGCAGGAGGACTGTTGTGAGTTCGAGACCAGCCTGTACTACAAAGTGAGCTCCAGGCCAGTCTGAACTGCATAGCGAGACCCCATCTCAAAAAGACAAAAAAAAAAACAAAAAAGCATGGAAAGTGGAACCTTAACCTGTATAAGGATTTCAAGATACAAGAAATATAATACTACTGTGATATATCTTTAAGCAGAGTGCTAGGCATTAAATAAGTACCTACTGTCTTAAACGTAAATCCTTGGACCACTTGTCTCATACCTTGTGAAAAATTCTGCTCCTGAGATAAGATTTCATTTCTTTCTTCTAAAATCTGCATCAAGGCAGCTTGAAGTTTAGGTGGTAGAATTTCATTCTCATCAGACACCTTGAAGAAAAATATGAGACTTTGTGTGAACTCTTAGGGAGAAAGTCCCCACAGGGAGTAAAATCCATGATTACATATAAATATATAATTATATATTCATATTTATATATAAATTATAATTTAATAACTAATATACCTTATAAAATTTTCTGGCACTTTTCTATTAGACACCTCTCATATACAAGTCTTTTTATATCTTCCAGATTATTCCCAAATAACTAACATTTCAAATCATATTGAGGAAGCTGATTTTGAAAAAAAGACAATGTCCTGAGAAACAAACTTTCTTTCTCTTTCTCTTCCTCTATCTTTCCCTTCCTCCCTCCCCTCTTTTTACATTTTACTGTTTGTCTGATTGTTTGTGATAGGGTCTTGCTATGTAGTCCAGGCTGGCCCTTGAACTCACTAGGTAGCCTAGGCCGGCCCAGAACTCCCACGGATCCTCCTGCCTCAGCCTCCAGAGTGCTGGGATTACAGATATGTGCCACCACACCCAGCTCTTCTTTTTCTTTCTTTCTTTTTTTTTTAACAGTCTCATGCTATGTAGGCCAGGCTGGCCTAAACTCCTTGTGCAATCCAGGCTGGTTTTCAACTCACACTCCTCCTGCCTTAGCCTCCACATGCTGGGATTACAGGCACAAGCCACCAATTATGGTTTCTTATTCTTTTCATATTGTATTTCTGTGCTTACAAATCTATATACAGTTTATAATCCAAGGATGCCCTAAGAAGGATTTACTAACTTTTCCTTTTTACTTCAATACCCAGGAGAAATAATTGCTTCCTTTTTGCTCTACCCTGTCTTATTCAAATTTCTATTACTGTATAGCATTTCTAAAACTTTGTAAGTCCCCATCTATTTGGCCTATAAGATATTCAAGCACTGTAAGAGTGGTCAGATTGTGTCTTATTAATCTTTAGATTCTGACTGCCTAAAAGAATATATTTGGAAGTAATCAGTATGAAAGCTTGTCTTTTTTTCTTCTTGCTCTCTTTTTTTGGTGGTACTGGGGATTAAACCCAGGGTCTCTTGCATGCTAGCCAAGTGCTCTACCACTAAGTTATACCCTCAGTCCAATAAATGTTTTTTTTTTTTTTTTTGTAGCAGGAGACAGGGTCTTGCTATGTAGTGTAGGCTGGTCTTAAACTCACTATGTCGCTCAGGCTGGCCTTGAACTTGCAGCAATCCTCTTGCCTCAGCCTCCTGAGAGCTGGGACTGCAGGCCAGCCACCATGCTCAACTAGATCACTTTAAGGAATAAATGGTTTACTTGGCTCGCTGTATCAGTCCGTGGGCAGCTGGCTTGAAAGCGAGAACGTCATGGCAGAAGGGCGCGGTGGAGCAAAGCTGCTTACTTCATGGTGGCTGGGAAGGAGCTTATGGCTTTTAAATTTAACTAAACAAGAAGCTTTCATGCTAACCCACCTGGAGGTGAAGGGTGGATTACTTACTTTGAGCATGACAGTTATTGTTTCCTCTTCCTTCTCTGCAATAGATAGCTACAAACCTAAGCCAAATTTTTCAGGTCAATCTTGTATGATTGGCCACAGTATCAATTCAAGTATGGGTAGGAACTAAAATTCCTGCCTGAGTCACATTCTCTATGGACTTTCACATATTTTCTGTTCAAGTATCTACAGAGAACTATAAATCCCGAACATTATGTAATTACTTCCTTTGTCACTCACCTCCTGTAGGAACTTGTCAGCACAGAGATCAACTATCAGCACCTGTGGAATAAAGGAACCAGGCAGGTTCAACTAGAGACATTCACAGACAGACACATCAGGCACTGCCAGATCACAATGGGTGTTTTTGAGTCTTTCTGGCAACAGGAACAGTTTCGAACACAATTAACTCAAAGTTGCGGCTCATTTAAAAGTACTAGGTAGATTCAGAATCAAAAGTTAGAGGTAAAATAATAAAGGAGATATTGCAGGAGGATATCTTCATTAAGTTAATATTAAAACCCCTAAACAACACTAGCAATAAATGAAAAGATTGTCGGGCGTGGTGGCACATGCCTATAATCCCAGCACTCAGGAGGCTGAGGCAAGAGGATCACCAATAGTTCAAAGCCAGCCAGGGCTAAATGTGAGTTCAAGGTCAGCCTGAATTTTATAGTGAAATCCTGTCTCAAACGAAAGAAAGAAAGAAAGAGAGAGAGAGAGAGAGAGAGAGAGAGAGAGAGAGAAACATTGAGAGAGAAACAGAGAGAGAGAGAAACAGAGAAAGAGAGAAAAACAGAGAGAGAGAGAAAGAGAGAAAAACAGAGAGAGAGAGAAAGAAAGAGGGAAAGGAAGGAAGAAAAGAAAAAAGAAAAGAAGAGAAAAGAAAAGGAGAAAGAAGATTGACAATTTTAACCATATTAAAATCAAAGGTCAGGGATGCAGCTCAATGGCACAAGTGCTTGCCTGGCAAGCACAAGGTCCTGAGTTTGATTTCAGGTACCAAAAAAATAAATAAATAAAAACTTTAGCTGGATGCAGTGGAACATCTCTGTAATCCCAGCTACTCAGGAAGGACAGGTAGTAGAAACTTAAGTTCAAGGATAGTTTAGGCAACTTAGTGAAGCCTGTTTCAAAATGAAAACTTTAAAAGGGTCAGGTTTGTAGCTCAGTGCTCCCTGAATTAAATTCCCAGTAATGCAAAACAAGAACAAAACTTCTGTACATTAAAAACATTTTGGAAGATGAAAGGGCAAATGTTCGACAAAGAAGCTGGTTTCCAGAATATAAAAAGGGCAAGGCATGGTGGCACCCTCTAATTTCAGCTCTCGGGATGCTAAGGCAGAAGGGTCACAAGATTGAGGTCAGCACGGGATACACAGTGAATTTAACGCCCGCCTGCAATACACAGCAAGACTAGGCCTCAAAAAACAAAAGTTGGGCATGGTGGTGCAAGCCTGCAATGCTAGCACTCAAGAGGCTGAGGCAGGAGAATGAGTATGAGCCAAGCTCAGCTCTGTAGCAAGACCTGGTCTCCATAAACCAAAATCAAAACAAAACAAAACTATATACACCAGAATTAAGAAGATTTCTCCATTTGCCTCAGTGGTAGAGCTCTCACTTAGCATAAGCGAAGCTCTACATTCCATCTCTAGCACCACAAAAAGGAAAAAAAAAGGACAAAAAATAAAAGACATCTTACCAATAAACAAGAGGGTAACTAGTCCAGTAGGAAGACAGTGAATTTTATAACCAATGATACTCAAATGGCCATTAAAACATAACAGCAGTCAAGAACACAGATCAAATTAGAGTGGCACTATACACTTAACAGGTAAGGCTAAGTATGAGCGCTGGTGAAGACACAGAATGACAGGAACTTTCATACACTGTTGGAGTTTAAACTGGCACAACTCCTCTGGAACAGTTTGACTGTACTCACTGAAGCTGAAGGTATGTTTACCCTATGACCTAGCAGTTCGATTTCCAAGTATATACACACAAAACTGCATGAATGTTTGTATGAAAAATCATGAACAAGGATATTTATAGTAAGACTATTCATAGTAACCCAAGTTGAAAACAATTCAAATGTTCATCAGCTGTACAATGGATAAAAAAACTGTGGTCCAGTCACGTAATGGAATGCTATACATAATCAGGAAGAAAATGTTGAAATGGGAAGGGAAACTAGAGAGGGAGAGGGAGAAAGAAAGGAAGAGAAAAGGAAAAAAAAGACACGGAAGGAAAAAATGAAAACAAAGCTTCTGTAAGTAAGGAAGGGAAAAGGGGTGGAAAGGAGGGGAGGGGGATGGGAAAAAAGAAATGCCAAGACGTAGCATACACAGGTACAAATTCCCTACGATGAATGTGATCATTACGTACACCTAAAATGTACCAATAAAGTTAGTTTTTAAAAAATGATCCGACTACTGTTAAACTCATCAACATGGATGAATCTTATACGTATAATGTTGATCAAAAGAAGCCAGTGAAACACCACCTTTACTACACAAATCCACTTGCATCAAGCTTAAACCCAGGCAAAGCAGAATTACATTATTCAGGGATGCACGCCTAAAGGATAAAATTACGAAGAAAAACAAGTAAACAAACACCATGACAACCAAGGGATGACCTCTGATGGGGCGTGGGGAAGGGACCAGAGATTAGATTGGGCAGGATGGGGAACTCTAGAGCACTGGACCTGCCTCCACTGCAGTAATGTTCCACTCCACTCCATGCTGTGTTCTACAAATGTTCACTCTGGTAATTCACAAGGCTGGAGATTTTATTTAGGGCACTTACCGCTTTGTGTTATATTTGAAACAGGTTTCCTTCCTCTCTCTTTTTCTCTCCTCTCATTTCACTTGCACTTTTCCCCTTGCTCTCTCCCTTCGGTGCTGGTGATTGAACTCATGGAGGCTCTACCACAACGCTACATCCCTAGCTTTTCTTTTCTTGAGATAAAATCTCGCTAAGTGGCCCGGATTGGGCATGAACTTGTGTGACTCTCCTGCCTCATGCTTCACCCTCCCAAGTGGCTGGGATTACAGGCATGTACCATCACACCTGGGTGGAACAGTTTTTCTAAAATAATTCTTTAAATTAACCCAGAATAATTTTTGTGTTTGACTTTAAGAAAAGCCCCCTAAAAGCCTGCTTTTCAGAATAACACAAGAATGAGTCCATTGTCCACTACTGTAAATAAGACAACTTGGGATTCATGTGTACTACAGACTTTTTTCACCTCAATAAAAAGATACCAAGATTATAACTGCATAACATATTAATAGTTATTATGTTAATTATTATAATTCCGCCCTTTACTAGTGCTCTTACTATTTTTCATAGCTATTGCCTCTTACCTCTTCAATGGGGAGGTCCCGGAGATGTGGTAAGGAGCATGACAGGATTCCAATAAGAAAAGGAGTAGGTGAGCACACAATGTCAATCATGGATGCTGGCAGGACTGGGATGTAGGTGTGCTGCCAGGTGAATGGATACAGGGTGGCTACCACAGCATGGCCACACTGTGACAGTGTGCTAGCCAGGGGAGAAAGTAAATGGTGTCAGATACAGAGCAACACATCCAGGGTGTTTAGGATATTTAAGTAAAGAATTACATATCGGTGCTGGTTCATGTTCACAGATTTACAACTGCATGAATACTCATTAGTTTTTAATGTTTTATTTAAAATTATAACTTCATTTAACTAAAAAGATTTAATTTCAACCCAGATTCCCTACAATTTATCAAACTAGAAATTAGTGTGCATGTAGAAAAAAAACAGTAACCATTTTTTAGACATACTTCTTTTTATGTTTCCCCGGCTGGCCTTGAACTCCTGGGCTCAAGCAACCATCCTGCCTCAGCCTCCCAAGTAGCTGGGAGTACAGGTACCAACTACGGCAGCTGGCTGAGAGCACCAATTTTTAACAATGGTTTAAGCAAAAATACATTTATAAATAAAACCTATTAAATGCAAAAAAGTCATCATTACACCCTAATGTAAATAACCAGTTACCATTTGGAATTATTCATGTCACTACAGCGTTGGGTAATTATAGACTAATTCTAGATTTTTATAAATACATATGAATTTTAAAATAGTAAGAACAAGTAAAACACCAGTATGAAGTAATATATTTCACTCATTTCTTTTTGTATAGTATTATTTGTGGTGCCAGGGCCTTGGGCATGCTGGGTGCTCTACCACCTGGTGACACTCCCAGCCCTATTTAACTTAGTTTTTTCTTACCTTAAGCTGTTGGCAACAAAGATTACCCTCCGCTCCAAAAGGAGAGAGGCACAGACCCGGATGAGATGGCAGACACTCAGGCACTTAAAAAGGCATTCAAAATCCACATGTTCCAATCGTGCATCTATTGGTCGACACAGTTCAATTGACTGAAATGTAAAAATCTGATTCAGGGGGAGCTGATGTTGGAAAACAACCTCAAATAAGAACACTAACAGATCCTCTTATTCTTTTACTCGTTACATTTGAGAAAGAGGGTCTACTATAAAAAGTCTGTGAGGCCACAGGGAACCTACAAAACTGATTATACTAATCCCAAGACCCTGTAGCTTATTTTCTGTACTGTAAATTTCAAGCAGTACCCTTTATTCCACCTGATGAAAGCGTGTATAATCGTCATTTATCACACTAAAATGTTTAGTACAGAGAGGGCCTAATCTGTGTGGGCAAGAAATTTTTAGGCCTTGGTTCACGGTCCAACTGTTACAGACGTTTACTCAGTACTTTCTGGGAAAAAATACTTCTCGTTTATAGAAAGGGGGGAAGAAATTATGCTCTTCAGCTTCTGGAAACTGGCCTACAGTACAAGAGCTGCTTTTTGACGGCTCTCAAACATTTTTGAAATGAGCTAAGTTACCCCATCTCCAGCCCCAGGGAGGTAGCTCTTGACTGTGATGGTGCGTCCAGGAGCTGGGAAAGGAGCTTCCATGACACTTCGCATGAACGGGTAAACAAGGGCTGGAGACATTTCTCTTCTCTTCTCTACTTCATCCAGAATCTACACACACAGAAAATGTTATTTTATTATGGACTTGGTTTAAAAACATAAAAATCAGCCAGGAGTGCTGACACACATCTGTAATCCCAGCACTCAGGAGTTCTAGGCCAGCCTGGGCTAAATAGTGAGACCCTGCCTCAAAAAATAAAAAAAAACAAAAATAAAAAAAACATAAAAATTCTTTTATAGGACCTGCCAAATTTGGTGTACACACTGAATGTAACAGCAACTGGATTTACAACAGGTAAATTTCAGCTGGGTGTGGTGGTGCATACCTGCAATGCACTCAAGAGACTGAGGCAGGAGAATCGAAATGAGTTTGAGGACAGCCTGGACTACATAGTGAGTTCAAGGCCAGCCCGAACTGCACAGCCAAACCCAATCTCAAAAAAAAAAAAAATTAACAATGACAATGTGCTATTGGGATCTAGGAAACACATGAGACAAGCTTTGGGTTGTATTCTCTTGAAACTGGGCGTTTTAGCCAGGCATGGTAATGCTGAGGTAGGAGGATCACTGTGAGTATAAGGCCAGCCTGGGCTACAAAGTGAATTCAAGGTCAGCCTGTACTACATAGTGAAACTCTGTCTCAAAAAGACAAAATAAACTGGGCATGGTGGTGCACACCTGTAATCCCAGCACTTGGGAGGCTGAGGCAGGAGGATCTTTGTGAAATCGAGACCAGCCTGAGCTACAAAGTGAGCTCAAGGCCAGCCTGAACTGCATAGCAAGACTCTGTCTCAAAAAAAAAAAAGACAAAGACAAAACTGGAAGTTTTAGGAAACCAAAATGAGAATGATGCAGCAATGGCAGCTGGCAATGGCTGAGTTTGGCCTTCAAGCTTGTGGTTCCGATCTGCCAAGAGGGAACCTATCTAAAGTAGGATGTTAGTCTATTGTCCAGAGACATCATAAGCAACAAAAATTTTCTCAGAGCTCAGAAACAAACACTACCTCTCACAGATCTCATTTTTCACTCAAATTCTTTGCTCACCTTTGAAAACAGATTGAAGCAGCCGAGGCGACTAACCATGCAGTACACCTCAGGGAGTCGCTTTCCTTTGCCTTCTGGCTGTAAGACAACAGTCAAGTAGCACAAGTCTTTAGTGATCTGGACTATTACTATTCTTTGAGTATTGTCTCCCTCTGTCTGATACGGGTCACTATGTCAGCCTGGCTTGTCTGGAACTTCTGGGCTCTAGCAATGCTCCTGCCTCAGCATCAAGAAGCTGGGACTACAAGAACATCAACTGAACCCGACTCCCTTAGTCAGAGCAGGATCTAAGGCCTTCATCCTCAGTGAACACCGCAAGATGAGAAAAGCACGAAACGTGATAGTACGATTTGTTCCAGCTGCACCTACACAAGAGGAAAACCCTAAAACAGCCGGTAACTCAGCACTCCCTTGAGTGGCTCACTGTACTCCATTCTTGAAATGTATTTGCACTGATACTCAGCCACTGTGTCTCTACTGCAAACAAATAAAATAAATCCCTACTTTCTATTCTGGAGCACGCCATGACCTACTGCGACCTTTCTTTTGCCATATAACGGTAACACAGCTTTTTTAAAGTACTGATCATTGAGAGTCCGCAAACTCATCTAGAAATAGTGATTCTGAACCTCTCAGTTTGACTTTATTGTCTCTTGACCAACTCAGTGTGCAGCACAAGTCTGGTACTTACCAAAAGCTTCTTACAGTAACCAAACCACCGGCTTCCATCTTCACCAGTCAAAACGAAGGAGAAAGTTTCACTGAAAAAATAATCAACTGTTATTCTGAGATCTAAATAACAATGTACAGCATTCCTCATGGAATAAACAATTGAAAATAGGGTCCAGCTGGGGATATAGCTCAGCGGCACAAGCGCCTGCCTGGCAAGCGCAAGGTCCTGAGTTCAATTCCCGGTACCACCAAAAAAAAAAAAAAAAAAAAAAGAAAAGAAAAGAAAATAGGGTCCAATACCAGTCATTTTGTGATCAAAGGGGAGGCAATAATATGACATTTATTGAATAAACTGTCACATAAAAGAAAAGAAAAGAAAATAGGGTCCAATACCAGTCATTTTGTGATCAAAGGGGAGGCAATAATATGACATTTATTGAATAAACTGTCACATTCCTTCGAAGGAATGTCCAGGCCTCAAGACTGAGTGAGCAAACTGGTATAGGATAAACTGTTGCCTTCTTTTACTTTTTTACTTATCTACTCTAGCTACTAATTCTGTTTTCCTTTTGTTGCATATCTGATTTAGACAAACATGTAGGTAAGCTATAAAGAACTTTAATATGACATTGCTCCCTTGCAAACTCTTCTATTTAATTCTGAAAGGCCATCTGCAACAGTGATAGGAAAAGGTTAATATCCTTAACATATAGAAATTGATAGGAAGCCAGGCATGGTGGCACAGGCCTGTAATCTCAGCATTCAGGAGGTTGAGGCAGGAGGACTGTTCAAGGCCAGCCTGGGCTACATAGTGAGACCTTATCTCAAAAAACAAAAACAAAACAAAGAACAACAACAACAAAAAAAAACAAATTAATAGGAAAAATGTAATTTTTCATTTGAAACACGGGCAAAATGTATGCAAAGATAATTTCCAAAAGGAAGATCCAAAGATGCCCAAGGAAAAAACTCATTAATTAAAACATAAATGTGAATGATGAATACTGTATAATCTATATATGGCCAAAAATAAAGATCAGAAGGGAATATGCCAAAATATTTACATGGATTATCTCTAAGTAACAAAATTACTACTGATTTCTAGTTTCTGCCTGTTATGTACTCAGCTATTTCTAGAATAAGCACACCTAACCAGGGGGAAACGCACCATGGAGCAGCCAGGCCCATCTGAAAGAGGCTGCTTGTGTGCTTAGCAGTGGAACTGATAACCCAAGAACACTAATGCGGGTGGCTGAGAGAGGGAGAGGTGATGAGACCAAACAGGTGAGGAGAGACGGCACTACGTGTGGGCTTCTTAGGCAACAGCTGAAGCTACCATCCAGCAGGTCATCCGCATGTGACACAGCTCACTTAACCAAGCTCCTCTGCTTGAAAGATACTATTTATAAATACAGGTGGGTTTTATTTGTTTTGTTTTGTTCGAAACAGGGTCTTGTTGCTCAGGTGGGTCCCAAACTCACAAGCTTACGAGATTCTCCTGCCTTAGACTCTAGAGTTGCTGGTACTACAAGCACAGCTTCGAATAAAGCAGTTATCTATTTATAAGCAGTTCATAGGTAATGACGTTTCATTAATTAAAAATAGTAATTTCCTCTAATTACATGAATGCAATTCTTTAATTCTTCCCTTCTCAATACACTCACAGCTCCCGAACTGAACGTTCCCCCTGTAAGCTCCACGGGGAAACATACCACCTGGACTGTGGTTTTTTCTATCAACTTGAAGGAGAAATAAGATAAGGACAGGGTTCTGTTTTATCTGTTTCTAGGTCTAGAGTCCCAAACTTCAAGTCTTGTTTTTTCTTTTTCTGTCCAATTTGGCCCATTTCTTACTTTATGTAAAGTGGAACTATTTGGTTCTGCAGAACTGGAGAACTGTACAGACTCTCAAACCCGTTTTCTTTGACACTAAAATTATTCTGTATCTTTCTTTTTTGAGCCCCACACCAGAAATGTCCTAATTCTGTTTCTCCCTTTCCCTCCACAGCATCCGTGATCGGCCAGTGTTCACACAGCTGCACTTCTGGCTCTACCCATTTCTCAAATGCTCTGACTCTATTTTTGCAGTTCCAACAAATAGAAATAAGATAAAGTAGCTCATTTACCTCTTGAGTTTTGAGGTTGGTATCCAGTCCTCTGAATCAGGAAAACAAAATTTTGGGATAACTTTGAGCCTTTCTTCTGTGTCTTTTGATTGCTTATAGCCATGATCACCCTGTGAAAGATAACACCACAGCGGACATTATTCCACGAAAATGGAGAATAAACATAAAAACCAAGCCTGGTGTTGGGGAGAAAGGTATATACTAACCCCAAGCAGGTTATCTCAGTATTGTTTTGTACTGCTTAGCAAAACAGGAAAGCCAAGACTGAAAAATCACAGAGAATGCACTGAGAACAGCTACTAGAAAAGGAACTCTATTTTTAAACACAAATGGTACCTGTGGAGACACTATAATCTAGTGCAAGGGAGATGGTTGAAAATAATTTCGCATCTAGAGGTACAGTCTTAGTTCAGGATTAACAAACAGGAATCCAGGATTTCATTAATTATGGGTTAAAGAAAAGTAAAATCTCTATAATATTACTGACAGTTAAAAACTTCGCCAGCTCAGGATATTCTCTGATCAATAATCATGGATGTTTTGAAAAAGGAGATGAATGTTATTCGGAAAAGATACTATTTTTAGAATTGAGCCCACATATAATCATTTCCCTTAGCATACAATCTTTGCTACCTAATTACTGGTTTGCAACTTCCTGTAAAATTTCAGCATGGAAGACTCTTGTGTAACTGTGGTACTATACTTTAAAAGACCATCTAAATTTAGTTAAAACCAAGATATTCAAAAATTAGTATGACTTGTCCTGTATAAAGACAAACATGCAACTTTAATTATCATATTGCTTTCAGATAATTATAAAATGATCTATCGTTTAGTTTCTGAAATAAAACTGCAGCCATTCTGGATCACTTGGATATTAAGCTCTTAAAAAAAACAAACAGAAAAGCACCAAGACATGTGGGGAGAAGGAGAGAGGGAGAGGAACAGGAGATGTAAAAGGAATTAAAGTGTGTTATACACATGTACCAACTTCCCACTATGAATGCAATCACTATATACTACAAACATGTACTGATAAACTAAGAATCGAAAAAAACTCAGAAAAATAGTATCAGTGCTGGGGTGTAGCTCAGTGGTAGACTGCTATGCCAGCACATGTGAGCCTCTAGGTTTGATCCCCAATACCTCCCACCAAGGAAACAAAAGTTCAGGGGTATTATAGCCTATGTACATATTTTTGAGAAAGGGTCTCACTATGTAGTTCAGGTTGGCCTTGAACTCAAGGCTTTACTCCTGCCTCAGCCTCCCAAGTGCTGGTATTACATGCGTGTACCACCATGCCCAGCCCATAGTCTATACTTTTTATAGTGTTAAATGATTCATAATTATCTTCATTCAAAGTTTTCCACAACAAAAGCCAAAAGAGGCTCAATAGGATCACCCCCTCATCCAATTGGTGGATGTTTGCGATACAAAGATGGAAAGTAGCTTACATGGAGACATCTCTGAATCACTACTGTGTCCTTACACGGTGTGAGGTTATTAATTCAGGCTTGGCTTTCCCTTCTCCAATTGTAAAACTAATGAAAACCAGGTAAAAAATTAAGCTCCTCTTACCAAACAAGCTCCTTTTACCAAACCATGCTGTGACATTGTACTTTCAGCTAAATTGAAGATTTTATGAGAAATTAAATTCGTGTATTTATTTACTGAGGAAATGATGAAGACACTGAAAAAAGTGAGAACCCATGCAGGAAATGTCCTTTAGATTATAGTACCATTGTGTTTCGTTAACTGTGTAGTGAAACATGCAACAGGTTATAAACACAAAGTCCTAAAATGGTTGAGAAGGTAAGCTACTTGAGAAGTAGTACAGATAATAAGCTGAAAGATGAATAAATGCTCCTACTTAAAAAGATCAAGCCTGATCAGCACTAGCCATATAATTTTCTAAGCAGAGAGCAAAACAAAAATGTGAGGGCTCTTGTTCAAAAAGAAAAGAATGAAATATAAAAATAAAATATAAAACCTTTTCCTTCTGTGGTCTTTCCAGCTGTAGTGGGTTTTTACCTGCGAATTAATGTCACTTTCCTTTGGGTTCAAGGATCCTGGCTGAGAACTACACCCCTTACCAGGGGCCTGAGTCTCCAATTTGGTACACTAGTGGCCAACAGCCAGAACCACTTCCTCTCTGGCCAGCAGCAGAACTAAGACTCCATGTGCTGACTGGAGATGTGGAAGTTAAGCCTGGCATTTCTCCTTCCCATAGGGCCATCATTTTAACCCACAGCAATCTGGCAACATCCTGGATTACAGCTTGAAACAAGGATGTGCTTGGTCCTTTGCTTGCGGGCGGTGGGAAGGCCTTCCCTCCACCGTATCATCCACTAGACACACAGAGCAGTACCAGTCAGGGTAGGGAGGGCTGTCCCCTTGCTTTGCCTGGAGATGCTGTGGAACAATGCTTGCATGAGCCCAAGCTTCCCTTGTAGGGGCATAAGCCCCTGCCAAGGACAGAAAGTAGCAGCAGTCACTCTGTGGGGATAAAAGGGAAGCCAGACCAGGCCAGGGAACTATGAAAATTAGCAAACCCATCCCAGAGGGGCAGCAGGATGTGAGACCATGCATGAACTGAAACCTGGTAGAAGCCCAACTGTCCCATAGGACTTCAAATATAAAAACAAACTCAAAGATAAAATTATTGAGCATTTCAAGATGGTGACCACAAAGCATTAAACTCCAGGCATGGGGCCCTTCTTAATGAGGGACCTTATGCAACTGCACTGGCCCGTGAAGTCCTGATCTTTACTCAGCATCAGTGAATTCCTGACACTCAGGAATGTGAGCTAAGTGTTGGTAGTCTTTCCAGTGTCTCAGCAGAAGGATGAAAAACAAACTACTGTGTGAAATTCGATTTGTTTTTTGCAGTGTTGGGGATCTAACCCATGACCTTGCACATGAACTATATCCCCAGCCCCTGAAATGAACTTTTAAATATTAGAAAGAATAAGTACTGATATTATTTTTTACAAAACAATACATAAACAAAAAAAAAGGAAGAAAAAGGTAAAGGAAAACCCACATGTTGGTAGACTCAGTTTGCTCACAGACTAAGATCAGTGAGACTTTAAGAAAATCTTTTTTTGCCAGGTGTGGTGGCTGATGCTTGTAATCCCAGCACCAGGGAGACTGACGCAAGAGGATCAGGTCAGCCTGAGCTACATAGTGAGCTCAAGCCCAGCCTGAACTACATAGCAAGATCCTGTGTCAAAAACAAACAAAAAGAAGAAAATCCTTTTTCAGTGGTACTCCTATCATCTAATCCTAACAGTAGGCACTTTAATATTTGAATAAATGAGTGAGTTTTTGCAAAAGATACAGCAAATCAAGTGACAGTGTTAATAATAATAACACCTACCATTTCTAATGTGCATATTTTGTGACAGGAAACTGCGTTATGTACTTCACAAATATTATTTCATTAAATATTTTACTAATAATGGAAAATGTTATAGAGTTTACTATATGCCATGCCAGACATTGTTCTAAGGGCCTTATCTACATTTAGCCCTTATCAACTTTCCTATGTTCCAAGGGACAGATATCATTATGATTACTGCCATTTTACAAATGAAAAAACTAAGACACAGAAAGGTTAAGCAGTTGCACGAAGTCACAGTGCTTGGTAAGTGACTAATGCAGAGCGCTGTTTCAGAGTCCACAATACAAATCATTACCTTATTCTACCACATTTATTCTTTCTCTAATTAGGGATGGGGAAATTGAAACTCTGTAACTTGCTAAAATTATTAAATAAAAAAAGATCATTACATGGTATAGCCAACACTATAAAACACATTTGAGGAATGAGCTTTTTCTTTCCCTGTCTCCATTTTGGGGCAGCTTATGTCTAATATAAGATGTCATGACAGTCACTAACCAGATCCTATAAGTATAGTACAGGTCAAAGTTTGTTGAGAAAACAATAAATAAAAAGAGAGGAAATAAACATACACAGCATACAGGAGAAGGATGTAAATACCTGTTGGCTTTTTAAACACCTGCTGGCTTCCTTGAACCTACCTTGCTAGGGAACTGCTGTATGACCTGGGGAATGTAGCTTATTCCTGATGGTTTTTTCTGTAAAGACACCACCACAAAAAGTTCAAACAACTGCTGCTCCTGCAGTTCAATAAGGTCCCGCTCCAAGGTCTGGTAGTGAGGATTCCTCTTGGAAGGCTGCAGCAGTTGTGCTAAGCGCTTGTGGCGATCTGTAATGAAGTCACAGAGCAAGGTTTTCCCTTATGGTACTGTTTCCCTCTAGCCCTAGAGGCTATGACCCATATACGAGTAATCTTCACACAGTCATTGCTGAATGAATGCTGACTAACCAGTATCTGCTTCACACACTTACCTGTTTAGGCAATGAAATACTCAGGGGACAAGTGCAGATCCTCAAAAATGCCCTGGTTCAATCCACCTCCAACCAGCAGTGAGTGGACTGGGATTCTATGTCCCAAATGATACACTATGTATGCCTACTACACACTCTATGTTATCCCATCTTTCATGGCAGCACACAGGACACATGAAAAGGTTTGCAAAATGCAAGGGACTAACAACAGATACCACTGCTGGGAATGTCGTGAAATCACGGGAGAGGTCAGAATTTGAAAAATGAACTGAGTCTGTACAGAAAGAGATGAGTTTGATAAAATTAAACCAAAAGCTACCTTTATCTGTGTGTTTCCTTTCTCTCCTTGGCAAGTGTTACTAACAATGGATATATGCTTATATAAATAAATTATGCTAAACTCGTGTGAAAGATGAAGTGGAGAAGATATCTATTAATGGACTACTACTTAAAAGAATCAAATCATGGATGCATGTTTTTTAAATAGTACATGGCAATATCTCCCCAAACTGGATAGCATCTATCTTCTATTCTTATTTAGTTCTAAATTCTGAACAATTTGGACTATTCATTACTAGGGAAATGGTATACTTGCAGGAAAAAAAAAGTTCAAGTGTTTCAGAGATTTGTTTATGTGTCCTTCTGAGTCACTGACTAGAAGACTTACCCTCTTGTTTTTCAGATATGATGCATTCTTCCTCAAAAGAAGTTAATTATGGCTCAAAATACTAAAAAATACTTTAAAAATACAATAAGGAATGGCTCCCTAAAATTATCCAGGACATTTAGTGCTCCAGGTAAAGCTTTAGTAACCCCAAAGGACTAAGCTCAAGTCAAGACAATTTTAGGTCTTGTTTCTCCTTAGCAATAGCACTAAAATAGTCATCCGCACACATGAAGGCTGAACCTGATGATGCTTTGAGTTTCACCTTTAGTCAGGCTACTGAATTAAACATCCGAAGCAAATCAGGCTAGTGAAGGAAGCACAAGACTATTAATCATAAGATTATAGAGTATCAGATTTGGAACTGTCCTGGACTCAGCACTGATAATTCAGGTCTCCTACTCTGCTACGCATCAGTATGTCAGGTATTTAACAGGAAGTAAGTAACTTGCTGTGACAGTTCACTAGATGAAGATACAGAGCACCACGAAGTGCTTGGACAAGTGGAGCCAGAAATTCATATTCTAACACAAAGTACACAACACAACACACTGGACTATAACTGCCTATGAACAAAAACAGGTCCTATTTCCTTTCTCCTCTTTTCTTCCCAGTGCTGGAGATCAAACTCAGGGCTCTGCACATGGTAGGCAATTATTCTACTACTGAGCTACATACCCAGTTCCTAAATGTTTCTTTTTCCTTTCTTTCACTAACTGTTGCCTTTTTCAAACCCCAACATATCAAAGTCACTTAATAATTATATTTGAGTTACTATGGAAAATCAGATATTGAATGGAAAGTATTTGTCTCAGAAGGCAATCCATATACTCTGTCGAGCTGCCACAAAACTACTGCATATGTGTCTGGACACGCAGCTCTGTGCTGCTCTTGTAAGAATATCCCATCCTGAGAAGCACACTGGTTGGCCTCCAGCCACTAGAGAGATTTTAAACTTTGTCAAACAGTCACTGGTGTACTAGTTAGCTTCCCAAATCTCAATAGATTCAGAAAATGAAAAAATGACCTACAGAACGAAACTTCTTGTGGGGAAAAACAGGCTTAATCACAAAGGCAGGAGCCACTCCACCCATAACTAGGAACATCACGAGAAAGGGAGCAGCCCCACTGACTCACTCACTCTTTGGCAGATACTCGCCATCACTTTCATTTCCACTGGTTTCACCTGCAAAGAGAGGAAGAGCTTCCATCTGTATCGTTCAGCAGTAGAAAATACCTGAGGATGAGTACACAGTAAATCCTCCACAGGCGCCGGGACTAGTACAAGGAAGAATACAGATTCTATGGCACTTCTTTATGTCAAATTAAAGCTGTTGTCAAAAGAGAACACAGTGGAGAATACAGTCGCTCTTATCTGCAGAGGATATATTCCAAGATCCCCAGGAGATGCCTAAAAATGTGGCTAGTACTAAACTATATATATGTGTGTGTGTGTGTGTGTATATATATATTTCTTATACATACATACCTATAGGAAAATTTAATTTATAAATCAGGTATAGTAAGATATTAAAAATAATATATACAATTATTACAATATAGTAAAAGTTACATGAACATGGTCCCTCTCAACATCTTATTGTACTCTCCTTGCCCTTCTTGTGATGATGTAAAAATGACATGACGCCTATGTGAAAGTGAGGGAGAAGATGTAAGCACCGTGCTGTATCATTAGGCCACTACCTAAGGGTAACCTGAGACAGGGACAGTTGATCGGATAACCTAGATCTACTGCTAATACTACTACTAGGCTACTAATAGGTGGGTAGTAGCTTAGCTCTGTTGTGGAAAGTTGGACAAAGACAAAATTCACGTCCTGAGCAGGAAGGAACAGAACAGCTCAAAATTTCACCACACTACCTGGAATTCTGCCCAGTTTAAAATTTATGAATTTTTTCTATGATTTTCCATTTAATACTTTCAAGCCTTGGTTTACCACTAGTAACCGGAACCTTGGAAGGTGACCTGCAGAAAGGACTCAGAGAAGAAACTGCTCTACTCCATCTTCTTTCCACATTCTACTTTACCCCTCAGCTCTCCTCTGATCCGAATGCTCAAAATTAACCACCTGTTAGACTAGTTTTATGAAGTCTAGCTCAGGATGGATTCTATTTTTACTTTCAAATCTTACTCGTATAAGATTTGTATAATATTAAAATAGGATATTAAATTGTTAAACAAAAACCTGAACACCAGCCAGACTACAGTTTTGAGAGAGACAGTTCCAAGTAAGTTTGTTTGCTTTGTGGTACTGGGATTGAACACCAAGCTACACACTTAGCCCTTTTTATTTTGAAATAGGATCTAACTAAATTGCCCAGGGTGGGCTCAAATCTGCAATCCTCTTGCCTCAGCCTCCTAGAGAGCTGCATTACAAGTGCCCCCCACACACTTGGATACTAAGTAATGAAGTATCATTTAACCTCTTCTGTGATACATCTACCTACCTGTGAGCCCATACTGATCACTCCTTTACTCTAAATTCTTGCAGTTCTAGTAACGATTTGTTCTGTACTTATTTTCTAAAATCATATTTTAAGTAACCTGAGGATAAGGGTCTATGTTGTTTTTACAAGGGATTGTTGGGTTTTTGTTCATCTGGTACTCAGAATGAACCCAGGGCCTTGCAAACGCTCAACACGTACTCTACCACTAAGCAATATCTCCTGCCAACAAGGGAGTGTTTTATACCATAAGTCTGGGCACACAATTTACCAAAAAAAAAAAAGTTTAATACAAGGGCTGGAAGCTGGTGGGGTGGCGCACACTTGAAATCCCATCACTCAGAGGTGAGAGCCAACGATCTAAGTAGAAGAATACATACTATAATACTGTTTGAAGATATATATGTACATCTTCATCCATAGGCAATTTAAATACTCATCAGCTAAATAAAAATTAACCAGCTAATAAAAATTGTTTTGAGATCTGGAATTGAATTGAGGGCCTCACTGAGCTATATCCCCAGTCTCAACAAAAATTTTTAACATCTATATAATGAAATACAGTGTAGCTATAAGAATCTTTATGTGTTGATACTGAAGGAAAGCTTTATAAAGATGGAGGGCATACAAAGTCTGAATAATGTGACTATCTGGGTATAAAAAGTATTTGCATCCTTAGCACCAGGTATCTCTTAGGAGTTATAAAATGTCTAGAAAGAAATAAAAAGAAGCCAGGGCCACTGAAGCACACCTGTAATCCCAGCAGTTGGGAGGCTGGGGCAGGAGGAGGATCGCTGCGAGTTTGAGGCCAGCCTGGGCTACATAGCGAGTTCAAGACCAGCCTGAACTATACAGCAAGACCCTGTCTCTAAAAACAAAACAAACAAAAATTTAAAAATATGACAGAATTCAGTAAGGGTAATAAATCATTCTATAATACCTGCAAACTTAAAGTTAAGAAATGTTTACGCTGGAATACACTCAGGAAGCATGTACTGACCGTCTACTTCTGTTAGGCATTAATAAACAGGCAAAACTTAAGGAGGAAAATGAAATCAGAACTGTAATGATGGAGTCAGGAGAACCTCAGGTATGAGAAAAACTCTGGTTACTCCTTGGAAGCATTGGTCATAAAGGCTGGGTAAACATTTATTTTCTTTGAGTTACACAAAGGGGGAAAAAACTTTCAGGGAAGAGCTATAATGTAGGGACTACTCCTTTTTTTTCTTTTCTTTTTTGGTATTAGAAATTGGTAATTTAGGTAACTGAAGTCTTTTTCTTCCCTTTTTAACAATGATATTGTTTATTGGGGATTTTTTTGTTTGTTTTTTTTAAAAGGATTTGACTGTTCAAAAACTAGTCTTCAGGCAGGTGTGGTGGCATGAGGCTACAGACCCAGGCTGGAGAATCACTTGAGCCCAGGAGTTTAAAGTCAGCCTAGGCAACATAGTGAGATCGTGTCTCATAATAAAACTCATCTTAAAGCCACATTTACTAACATTCTCATCCATATGGCATGCACACAAAGAGTGCTGTTAATTCAAGGAAATGATGTTTTACAAATACTTGTCTTTATCCCAGTGGCTTGGTATTTCACATAATTAGCAATTTACAGTTCATTTCCTTATCTATAAACACAGTGACAATACGATCTGTCACATAGGATTACTTAGAAACTTAGAAATAGTGCATCAGGAGGAATCCAAGACAATACAATGCACAGATTTCATTTTCTGTATCTAGATCTGAACTATACAAATTTAAAACATCTTTTATAATATCTTGTTGAGAAAGAAATACATGGAGAAGAGGTAGTAAACTGCTAAAAAAAAAAAAACAATCAAGGTTTATGAGAAAAACTGAGAGCCGCTGTTGGTGACATGAAATGATCAAACTTGGTGAGGCCACGACCCTTGTAGGAAGGTACGCTTCCTCCTGGGGCTCAGCTCCTGCCCGTGACTTTGGGCCGGTGCCTACCTCCTAGCGTAGCCGTGAGGTACAGTCAGCACAACCCGAAGTTTCTTCCCCAAAGGAGACTGAAATGTATTTTGTAAAGTGCTTTTGAAAAGCCTGAAAGCTCGCACGAGAAACAGTGACAAGCTGATTTTGCTGTTGTCCGTGGTGCTGTGATCGAACGCAATCACCACAGAGTAAGAACAGAGTCTAAGCTGAAACCGGATCCTATTTTCAGACAGGAAGTTGTTAGAACGTAGAACAAATTTTTAGGGGAAATTTAAAAATTTCTATCTTTAGAAGATTGCGAAAGTAAGAAACATTCTCCTCTAATATGACTTGGCTACTGTTTCTCACTTATTAACCTTATAAATAAAAATTGCTAAATTCTACATATTTTTTGCCAAAAAAGTTTAGACTCTCACATGATTGGTTTTTGTTTGTTTTGTTTTTGCACTGCTGGAGATCAAATCCAGGGCTTCTTGAACGCTAGGCAAGTGCTCTACCACCGAGCTACACCCCGAGCCCTCAGGGATTTTTATGAAAATCTAGTAATTCATTATCAATACTGAAAGTTTCCTAACTAAGGAAATAGGTTTTTTGTGACACTGGGGAATGAACTCAGAACCTCTGCACTGAGCTATATCCTCAGCCCCTTTCTTAAATTTCTTATTTTGAAACAGGTCTCACTAGGTCACTAAATTACCCAGACTGGGCTTGAACTTCTTGTGATTCCCAGAGCCTCAGCCTCCTAAAGTACTGAATTATAGGCAATGTGCCACCATACTTCGCAGGGTAAGTTTTATCTAACCATCTACAATATAGAACTTATGACTTATGACTACAAGTTGAGTACTCCATACCACTAGTCTATGTATACCTGTATTTTCATTTCTCTACCGTACGGTTTGATCAATCTTGCATTCTTCCATCTAGTAATCTAAGCAACTTCACTGAAGATAACAATATGTAGTATAACAACCACTGTCAATTCCTATTACTTTGTTTTGATACCCTGTATCATTTTTATTGTTTTTCTCTTGTTTTGTTTTTGTCTATGTTGTTGTTATTGTATTATTGTTTTTTTATTTTCTTTATAATAAAAAAAGAGTCTGTACTGGCGAATTACTATAAATCAAAGGAGGACTACAAAACAATGATTCAAACTGCCTATGAAAATTAGACTCATTGGTTTTATAATGATTTTTTTCATTTATTCACTCACCCAACACTTATTACTACTTGGGACAGAATTAAATGAAAGGAATTGGAAAAATGACCCCTTACCCTAAAGAAGTTTATACTAAAATTGGATAGACAGGAAAGTAAACCAAAAACTGTAATTCACTTCAGACATTAAGTTTTATAATTATTTTCCCCTCAAATATTGGTATCTATAGGTAGCTGGAACAATTACAATTTTTACCTTTTGAAGGAGGTACTTCCTTTCCAGTGTAAGGGTGTAACTTCACCTTCTTCTTTCCTCTCTTGGATTGAAATATGTCATCTATTTTCAATACAAGCTGAAAGAAGACCAAAAAATACAAGTTAAAACCAACATAAGGTTTGCAGCTTGATGACTTAATTAGTGATTCTAATTTAGAGATGTATTTTATAAATAAAAACCTTTACTTTTTTCAATTTTAAATGTGAAATGATGATCTTTAGATGACATATTGCTCAAATATTGAGTCCAGTTCGAGGCCAGCCTGAACTACATAGCAAGATCCTGTACAAACAAAATACTAACTCCACATAAGATGGATAAGGGGCTTCTTTCCAGATGAATCCTGCACAGCCTCTCAGGGAGATTCCTTGTCATTCCATGTCACAACATGCAGGCAAGGTGGCTACTGCACTCCCTAAAATAACCAAGCCATTATTACATGCAAGTTTTTGCTTGCCCAAAATAGGAAGGGAAACATTGATTCACTTGGAAGAAAGAATGAAGCTTAGTTAATTCTGCTCCCAGGAATTCTTCCAAAAAGAAGACAACTACACCGGGCAAGTTTTTGTTGTTGTTGTTTTGTTTTTGAGGCACTGGGGATAAAAGCTAGAGCCTTTGCACTAAGTTACATTCTCAGCCCTTCAGCCTTTTTCTTTTTTAGACAGGATCTCACTATGTAGTTCACGCTGATCTTGAACTCACTATGTAGCCCAGGCTGGCCTTGAATTCAGCAATCCTCCTGCCTCAGCCTTCTGAGTGCTAGAATTATAGGTGTGTGCTACTATGCCCAGCTATTATTTTTTATTTTGAGACAAGGTCTCCTTAAGTCACTATGTTGCCCAGCCTGGTCTCAAACTTGTGATCATTCTGTCTCAGCCTCCCGAAGTGAAGTTTTGGTCAAAGAAAATACACTTTGGCACTGAGAGTACAAACATTACAATTTATTTCAGAAATATGTAATAGGAGACTCTCAAATATGCCCAAGTATGAAACTATGCTTTCATATCCCTTCCACTCATTTTAAAAAATTAATTAATAACTTGGGGGGCAGTACTGGGGACTGAACCAAGGGCCTTTGCACTGAACTATATTCTCAGACCATTTTTTACTTAAGACAGGATCTTGCTAAGTTACTAGTTGACCAGACTAGGTTCAAACTTGCAGTCCTCCTGCCTCACCCTCCTACAGTCCTGGGATTACAGGCATACAGCACCACACCCAGCTAACACCATTTATTTTTAAATTGTTATAAATATCTACTTTTCTCTAATAAGCATTAATCAGAATTTTTCCTTGGCTGCTAGGAAAGCTCTGTGTGTGTGTATGTGTGTGTGTGTGTGTGTGTGTGTGTATGCATGCATGTGCATGTGTGTCTGAGAAAAACAAAAACAAACCTAGAGACACAAAGTAGGCTGGGTAAAAAGAATTTCAGTGGACAGCAGGCACTTAAAATAAGGAATAGTTTTTCCACATGTACTTTTACCTTAAGATTCCATATTTTTCTTGTATGTTCATCCTCACTTAACATACTTAATGCCTAGAATTACAACCCTTAAGATCATTATATTAGATGACAATCAACAGACTTGCTTGAGAAAAATAGTCTTGTTTTCTCTTTCATCCTTGTTTCTCTAGCAATCCTGGCAATCAACAGCCTGTGAATTAGCCCAGTGCAAGAAAAAAGCATGAGAAACATGTGCTTCTAATATGTAAATTATTCCTGCATTTCTGGATGAGTTCATTCTTTTAACTTTTTATAAATGAATTCAGGTGAAAAGCTGCCAACGATTCTTCTCCCTCTCTTCCTCCTCCTTCTCCCTTTCTTCTCCTTCCTCTTTCCCTCCTCCTCTATCTTTTTCCTCTTTCTCCTCCTTCTCCCTCCCCTTTCTTCTTTTTTTTTTTTTTTGAGATAGGGCCTCGCTACATAGTCCGGGCTGGCAAACTCACCACGTACCTGAGGCTGGCCTCAAACTCACAATCCTGCCTTGAGCTCTCTACTGCTGAGATTACATACAGGCACTACTACTGCCAACTTCAAAACAGCTTCAATGATTGATTGATTGTCTTTTTGAGACAGGGTCTCACTATACAGTTCAGGCCGGCCTTGAGCTCACTCTGTAGCCCAGGTCTCAAACTCACAATGATCCTCCTGCCTCAGGCTCCCAAGTGCTAGGACGACAGGTGTGCACCACCATGCCCAGCCATAACTTATTAATGTACATTTGAAAAGAATAATCAAAAGTATACTTAAATACTGTAAGGAAAGGAAACTACTGTTCTACAAGTATGAAGTAAAGTGATAAATTTAAATCCTGATTATGAGGTTGGAGAAGGAGCCTATCCTCACCTTTTAGTGGCAGGAAATACAGCAGAATCCCCTAAGAAATTACAGAAGCCACACTGCTACATCACTTGACACAAACAATATAAAAAAGTATCAGGGAAGGGCTGGGGATTTAGCTCAGCGGCAAAAGCGCCTGCCTCGCAAGCGCAAGGTCGTGAGTTCGGTTCCCGGTACCGGAGAAAAACCAAAAAAAAAAAAATATATATATCAGGGAATATACTCTAGCAAACAATCCTACATAGGCTTTCAAAGAAGGAAAAACAGGAAGGGTAGGAAAGAGGCATACGGATTAGATCAGTGATTTTCAAACTGTGAAAGCAATTTTGTTTGCTGTCATCAGAGGGAAAATAAATAAAAACTGCTTTTCTTATGCAATATTGTTCTTGAAAATACTTTAAAGCCAGACTGCATACATGACTCATAAAAGGACTTAATCTGAGAAGGGTCACAGGTAGAAATGCTAACCACCTGTTCCTAGCCAACCATCAAGAGTTTATCACCATTTGCTTTCATTCTGCTTCTCAAAACACCTTCTGGAAAATTCCAAAAAAGGGCAAGTTGGAGCATATTACCTACCACCAGAAAGAGGTGAAGTTCTGAGTTCTCAAGATTCATAGTACATAAAATACTAAAGTATGAAATCAAAAGCAATGGAAAATCTCCTTGGGCCTCACTTAACTCTACAATGCACAATTAGTAAATATTTGCTAATGCCTTTCTAAGATTTTAAGAATCTTAATGCAGTCCCTTAGGTGTTTGTATTCTTTCTCTAAAGAACACAAGATCTGTTATTTCTGGGCCAGGTGGGAAGCTGCTTTGTTGTGCCAGTGTGATCTACGGAAGGAGAATGCTACTGCTGGGTGGCTGGCAGTTTTTCAAACCTGTGATTTTTATAAAGGGAAAGCAGGAAACAGAAAGACTTCAATTGTGGAGCAGAGTATTTCCAAGGAACCAAAGAGTAGAAACTAAGCCAAGAAAAAGCTGTGACTGTAATGTTAAAATCAGGTATAAAAATTGTGTGTTAAATGAATACACACAGCTAATTCAAACAGGAGTAAGGAAAGAAATAATATTTAAATAATTTGACATTTTTATGGCTGTATATTATCTGCATAGTATTTTGTCAATCTTGAAAGCACTCTGAATTAAAGAACAAAGTAATGGCTTAAAACTATTTACACATAATTTCTTAGATGTCTTTCCTAAAAGACAATATATCTGTCTACAGGTAATCTCAATTTCTTTTTCTGGGTTGCAGATGCTGTATTTGAGATGATATATAGCCTTAGCTGCCTTTTTCCCTTGAGAGAGAAGTAGGTTATTTGGTATGCTTGCTGTTACGTTTTTAGTTCCAAGTAACAGTTCAACTTCTCTATTTCCTTCTCTGAATGGAAATTTTTGCCCCAAATATACTATATATACTGTACGTACTTTGTCACTACTGAAAATCTGTAAATTCAGGCATAAAATTGAAGTCAGTTAGGTATTTGGAAACACTGAAACAAGTCTGACAGACTGCCCCTTTTATGACAATCTGGTGCTAACCTTGTAGCTAAGGTAATTGAAGTGAAGCTCTCCATGTAATATCAATTTCCAAATCAATAAAGAAACTCTGGGAAAAGTGCATGTTTCTTGCATAACCAAAAGTTTAAAACTTAAGGTCGCTTTCCACATCTTTTAATTCCAATAGGTCAATTATAACCTAATATTCATTTTGTTTAATGTTTGTTTATTCTCATTTATGGAAATATTGAAATAAGAAAAGAAGAATGAAAGTACTGAACTCCTCACCCTTGGAAGATTTCTCCTTTTTCTGTTTGCAACTTCTCCAGCTCCAAAAAGTTTCCACTCAGTTAAAGTGACAGGCAAAGTGGTATCCTTCGTGAACTTTGACCGTAAATAAGCGTGGGAGTTCTTCAGCTCCATAGTCTTTCGGTGAAAGAACTGTGGCTTGGGAGGAAGCTAGGATAGGGGAAGATGTACGGTACAGTCACTTAGTTAACACCTGTGCTTTCATGCAAAGTCAAAGCTATCCCAGGAAAGTATTTATTTTTCCTTTCATCTCAAATGAGGATACCATACTTTTTTTCTCACCACTGGTAAAGAAGCTTTCCAGTTTTAGAATTCAATGTTCTCCAACAATGTAATTAAATTCCTAGAGAACAGCTACCCATAATCTTCGTAATTCAAGCCAGGGATTTCAATAGTCTCAGAGACCAGGCCAGTAATTTAGGTCACAAGCTGATGTGAGACTAAGAGGGAAAAGTAGGAACTACAGAAAACTGAAAACTGTTCACGGCCCGTCTAAAGGCACTTACAATCAAATTTTTTGAGGTATTAAAATGATACCAAAACAAGGCAAAGAAAAAAACCCATGTATTGCCTAAAAAACCATGAACAATAAAACTTACATAATAGTTTTGGCCCAAATTAAACCATCTTAACTTAGTTTTGGCCCCAATTAAACCATGTTAACTTTTTGTATATAATGTAAACAAGACTAACATTTTTTTTTTTTTTTTGGTTTTTTTCTCCGGTACCGGGAACCGAACTCACGACCTTGGGCTTGCCAGGCAGGCGCTTTTGCCGCTGAGCTAAATCCCCAGCCCCAAGACTAACATTTTTTCAATTAATCCTCTAGCTGTACCTTGGGTGTTCTGAAAGCACTTTTAGTGGGTGGGAGCTTCCATGCTGAAGGGGACCTCCACAAGGGCAAAGGCTGCGCTGGGATATCTTCATATGGATTTTCTTTGGTGGGATCTTGAAAAATAACAAAAATTGCTTAGAGGAACATAATTAAATGGAAAAAAAGGGACTGAACATCGCAAAAAAATTTTTAAAAACTGACTGTATTAAGGTTTCTTATTCTCTGCTGTAGGAATGTGGTCTTGAGATCAATGCAATTTTACACATTACTCAGGTGTCAAACCAAGCTAAAAATTCTTTTGAAAATATTATATTGTAAACATTTACTTTTGAACTAATTCATTGCACTAATTGTAAAATTCATTACAGAGTGAAAAAAATTATATACCAAAGGTACCCATAATACAAAGAAAAATGTAGATCAATATATGTTTGATTATAAAGGAAAATAGTATCCTATAATTAAAGGCATCATTAAATACATACTCATTAAATTTAATTGCAAAGTTGTATACACCTACATATGATATCCTCATAGATATTATCCTCAGATTGTGTGTAATAAAGTGCTGAACCAGAATTTCTCCCAAGTTCTTCATGAATCTTCTGTGAATTCCGATTTCGAAAGTGCTGAATATCCTCAAATTCAAAGGATTTCCTTAGGAAAGGAGATATATTTTAATGTTATATCTTTCAAAACCACCACTCAGGAGGCTGAGGCAAGAGGATCACTGCAAGTTCCAGACCAGCCTGGGCTACAAAGTCAGCACAAGGCCAGCCTGAACTGCATAGTGAGACCTTGTCTCAAAAAGCCAAAAAAAAAAACAAACATAGAACGAGGAGAGGGGAGGGGAAGGGAGGGGAGGGGAGGGAGGGGAGGGGTGAGGAGAGGAGAGGAACAAAGGATATGAGTGGGAAATCACAAAGGTGTTTTTTATCAAAGATGTGACAAAATTAAAGGGTTTTAAGCAATCATATTCATGTTTTTTAAAATTAAGTTTATTAGTACATTTTAGGTATACACAATGATCATATTTATCACAGGAAATTTGTGTCTGTACATATTTTGATTCCTTTTTTTTCACATTCATTTTCGTCACTAAGTTCATTTATTAAGTTTGCTCCTTCATTAAAAGTAGGCAAATTCTTTTGTTTTATTTTGCTTGAGGTGGGGTCTCCCTACGTAGCCCAGGCTGGTCTCAGAGTTGTGGTGATCCTCCTGCCTCAGCCTCCCAAATAGTGAGCTTGCATGTGACACCTTTCCTGGCTTGCTCGCTCTCTCGTTTTGATTTGTTTTTGTTGTTGTTTTTGGAGACAGGACCTTGCACCTCAAACTCGCAATCCTCCTACCTCAGCATCCTGACTTCTGGGATTACAGGCATTCTGCCTGTAGCTGACCCTATAAATTCTTAAAGATACAAAGGAAGTGAGGTATAGTGGCGCACACCTGCTACCCCACCACTCAGGAGGCTGAGGCAGGGGAACACAGCAAGTTACAGGTCAGCCTTGGCTATAAAGTGAGTTCAAGGCCAGCCTGAAATACATAGTGAGATGCTGTCTAGAAAAACAAAAACAAAAAAACCACAAACAAACCAATGACGCAAATTGGAAGTTTTTCTGATACTCTATGTCAGCAAATTGTCTTAGATATTACCTATACTTCTACTTTTTACTCTTTTTGTTTTCTATGTTAACCAACACCAGTATGTTCAAATTAAGGCTGTAAGCTAAGCTGGGAAATTAAAATTCATTTGAATGGAAAAAGAACTAATCCTAAAAAGAAAATATTTGCAAATCATTTTGTGTAAGATAAAAACATACCTTTTTGATCTCCCTCTAATTTTTCCACCATATTTCTTTGGTACAGGTTCCTGAGAAGAGGCCAAAGTAGATTCTGCACAAGAACTATTTTCACAGTGTTTTCTGTCACAGTTCCTTTCTTCACACGGCCTAACACCAGACTCGGATAAGTACCTGAATGTCCTGCGTGGCTTTGGCAAAGGGTTTATAGAAGATCCGCATTCTTGCCCCTCTGGTTCAGAGTAAATATTTTCTAAGCTCTTGGTCATTCCATATGAACTATTTAGAATGCTACAATTCAGTTTTTTTTCTGAAGGGGCACAAGGTTCTAACGTCAAATTTATGACTTTATCTGGGGGAAGTGTTTCTATTTTCTTCCACAGTATTTGTGAGGTATAGAAGTTTCCCGGAGGTAATGAAGTCTCTGGACCTAACAGAACTTCTTTCCAGCTTTCAATCTGTTTGACCCTGGAACACACCCAACTGTGTTCTGACTCATGTTTAAAGATGCATGTATCATCGTAGTCATGTTTCTCACCTTCATCCTCACTTGGATCATGGCTTTTAGCATCTTCATCCATATCTAAAACCACATTCTGAGAGTTGGTTTTACCCAACTTTTTGTTCTTTCCCTCAGCAATAGGATTTTTCTTTGGAAGAATCTCTTGGTGACAGTTGTATCTCACTCCAAAGTCCTTTTGATGCCACTTAGAAGGATTAGATGTACCATTAGTCCTTCCTTCCCACTGGGAAATTTTTTGTTTGATGTTTTTGCAGTGGCTTCTTGACAATGTCTGAACAGCAGAACGAGAAAAACCACCATCCATGTTCCCAGTTGGGTGCATGACAAGTGAATCTTACAAAGGTTCCATTAAAAGTGACGGTGAAATACTGTACAGTTTATCTTGTCAGAAGTGAAGTAACTCCAGTACCTTTCTTTCATGTTTAACTTGTAAATGTCTTTTTAAAAAGAATAATTTTGATCACTGATCCTCATTGAAAATGGCTGCAACTTTGTCTTGAAGAATCCTATTAAAATGAGACAAGAAAGTTAACATAGTATATAATTCCTTAATTTAAACCCCACTAAAACATTGCCCACTTGTCCCTAAACAGTTAATTTACACTGCAGGGGTAAAAAATGTCTCTGCAATTCAACTCCATAAGGGCAATCCTAAGATAGTGATATAATACTGAGAGAATACGACATTGTGACATTTTTCAAATTGTCAGGTTAAGTATTCTGCCATATTTAATTTCCTAAGGTTAGGTATAAGGAGGGTTTATAAGAATTACCTATGGCAGTATGCAACATTATTTTATAATAAACCAATTCTCTTTGTTTGTTTATTTGTTTTTGAGATAGGGTCTTGCTATATAGTTCAGGCTGGTCTTGAATTCACTATGTGGCCCAGATTGGCCTTGAACTCTCCATGATCCTACTGCCTCAAACTCCTGAGTGCTGGGAGTACAGATGTGCACCACCACGCCCAGCTTGTAGTGAACCAATTGCTTAAGAAACTTTCACTTATGCAAAGAAGGGCCAGTAGAGTGTTATATAAAGCATACATGCTGGGATACAGATCAGTGGCATAGCACCTGCCTGGCAAGCGCAAGGCTCTGAGTTTGATTCCCAGTACAAAACAAAAAGCATACTTATATAGAAATACATTGACTGACCAAAAATTTCATGCATGCATCCATACAGCAACAGTCAGTTAGCTTGCAAATATACCAACAGGGGTTTCTTATTTTATGTTGGTAGACAATATTAGTCTAGGCCGGGTGTGGTGGTGCACGCCTGTAATCCCAGCACTAGGGAGGCTGAGGTAGGAGGATCGTTGCGAGTTTGAGTCCAGCCTGGGCTACAAAGTGAGCTCAAGGTCAGCCTGAACTGCATAGTGAGACCCTGTCTCAAAAACACCAAAAAAAAAGATAGTATTAGTCTATCACATATCACATACCCTTATTTCAGCTCTACTACTAGCAGCTCAGTTGCATAGACAACCTGCTAAAGGGAATCCAAGGTGCCCATTAACGATTGTTGCTTCAAAACAAAATACCTGTTTTTTCAGTGCTTGAAATTCCTACATCTCTGCTACCACATCCTTGTCCCAAATATGCAAAAATACTTACAGTCACTGTCACACTCCTTCCTTTCACATAGAGGCTTCACTCAGTCAGGCCCATAAACTACTTCCTCAAATGTGAAATTTCGCAAAAAAGCTTTCCCCACCATCTGAGCCAAGACTTGCTCTCAAATTCTATTGTATACTGGTTATAAATAGCAACTGATTCACAACTTCCTGAGGTAGGGGGTCATCCTTCCTTGAGCTTTGTCTGTGTGGCCTTGATTAACGTGCAGGAAAATGTATTATTGCAGCTCTGTCAGTACAGCTGACCAAAACTGATATATACGCAACACACACCCAAGTTATTCTTGGCAGAACAAATTCTCTTCAGGACTTCTGTCAACTTTCACTTAAATCATTCCCATAACTTTGGAGAAAAACCAGCTTTACCAGCAAATAAATTCTAGTGATTGTCTAGATGTAAAGAAAATTATCCTTAAAAACCTTGAGAAAGAAATTAAACCAATAACGGTAGAAAAGTCCATAATATCACCAAACCCCAAACAGGGCATGGTGGCACATGCCTGCAATTCCAGCACTCGGAGGCTGAGGCAGGAGGATCACTGTGAGTTGGAGACCAGCCTAGGTTACAAAATGAGCTCAAGGCCAGCCTGAACTGCATAATGAGACCACATCTCAAAAGGACAACAACAACAACAACAAACCAAACCCCCACAGAACTCTGATAAAAGACAATATACAACATCAAATTTCAAATAGCTGCTGTTGATTACAAAATCTTTTCCTGTTTCCGATGTTGACAGGGAATTCCTAGGGATTTCAGGGTGTCTTTTAGAGTCAGACAAGAAGAGTTATTTTCTGGAGCTCCTGGAATGTTCCTAGAAGTTTCTGTCTTTGTTAATCCTTTTCCTGGTTAGTATGGTTTTAAGTGTGAATGGGTCAAATTGATGTTTTTTAGGATAAAAACTGCCAGGATGACAACAAATTTTTAAACCTGAAAACTTCTGGCAACAAGTAGCTACATCTATGGAATTCACACACAAACAGAAATGACACAGATGGTGTGTCAGTGGCAACAGAGTAGTACAGCAACTTTAATTTGGGACATGTGACTAATTCTGACATCAAGGCACATAAATATGACTCTGTCAGACCCATGTTTATTCTTTAGAGTATTTCTACTGATGAATTACCACCTTTAGTCTTACGAGTTTTAGTATATTAAACAATGAATACTTAACAGGAAAATATTGCAAAAATAATGTTTTAATATTTATTGTTTATTTAAAAAGCATCAAAATTTTCAACATCAACTGTTTTTTGGTGTACTAAGTCTAAAAAAGAACAACACAAATTCTTATATGAACTACAATGAAAATACCAATAACATTTTACAAAAAAAATCTTTACTTCAATTATAACATCTAAAGCAGTCTGCACACATGACATCAGTGTATTCCACACACGTGCATCATTTACACTGACAGCACAATGTCTTGATTTCCTGGCCTTTTTGTAGGACATACTTGACATCTCACTGGTCATGCTGTTTTGTTAGAAGGTTCTTACGAAGTGCGCAGTTAATAGGAACATAAAATAGCAATAAAATAAAGTATTAAATTCTTATTTGTATTGTGCATTTAGAATAAACATTAACATCTTCACATCAGCTGTGTACTTGCTTACAAACCCTAAAAGATAACATCAGAAGTAAATTCCTATATAAACTACAATGAAAATGCCAATAGAGGGCCGGGGATATAGCTCAGTGCTGCAAGCACCTGCCTGGCAAGCACACGGTACTGAGTTTGATCCCTGCTACCAGAAAATGCCAAAAGAACTCTACCGCAAAAATGAGCCTTCCTTTAACTGTCCTACGCAAGGCAGTCTTCACACGTGACAACTGCATGTTCCATGCACACATCTCACCTACACTGAGAGCACAAGCTTTCCTTTTGTATGTGGCATTATTATCCTCTCATCTTCCTGTTTTGCACACTGTACAACATGTGCTTAGCAAGGAAATAAGATATCAATAAAATAAATTATCAAATATGTAATGAGTGCTTAGAATAGATCAGCATTTTCACATCAGCTATGTACTTGCTTACAACCTAAAACATAACATCAAAAATAAAACCCTATGTAAACTACAATGTAAACACAAACAAAAGTCTACCACAGAAATAAGCTTTGCTTCAAATGTCACACCTGAGGCAATCTTCACACATAACAACTGCATGTTCTACACACAAGTATTGCTTACACTGATAGCATGTGTGTTTTGTTTTCCTGTCCTTTCCTGTAGGGCACAGTTGACATATTTTATGTTTTCCTGTTATCATAGTAGGTCTTTGTGATCCTGCAGCTGCCTGTTCACCTGTTAGCTCACCAGTGTGTTCCACATTTTTTTTGTCCAGTTCCCTGGGCGGAAACATTTTGTTTTTGCTGTAAATGATCTCTTATGAGCTTCAGTCCTAACCCTCTAAGATAATTTCTTAGATATCTTTCTTAATATCTGTGATATTCTGCACTTTATTTTCTTTGTAAACTATCAAACTATTTATGCCACACATATTTAGTATCAAATAAAACACAACCATTGACCAGTGCTTTGTTTTGAGTGACATCATAGTTGGTACATAACTCATCAACATCGACTCCACCTTTGGTTTTGTTCTAGAAAGTTTCCATCTCAGGCTTCTGTTTTATTGACGTTTCCCTATCAATACTGCCATGATGACCTGGGTGTAGTGGTGCACACCTGTAATCCTAGCACTCAGGAGGCTGAGGCAAGAGGATCACTGGGAGTTTGAGGCCAGTTTGGACTACAAAGAAAGACTATCTCAAAAAAAAAAAAAAAAAAAACAAACCAAGTGGAAAAAAAAAGACAGAAAATGGAAATAAAGCTCTTTTAAATGGGGAAGGGACAAAGTACTGAAGGGAGGGTAGGGGAATGGGAAAAAAAGAAACAAGTTATATCATGATCATGTACAGGTACAAATTCTCTATGATGACTGTGACCATTATGTATATCTAAAATGTACCAATAAAATCTGATTGGAAAAAACTTTTCCATCATGGTGGAATGCTGATATCAGCAGTACCAGTTTGGAGTGCTGTTTTTTTTTTTTTGGCCATATATGAGGCCAATGTTGTATCTTTCTGAACTCCAAAGACTGTACTATACAATGCTCTGTTCTGAAATAACAATATTTCATTTGGAATTTCTGCTTTGTTCCTGTATATAGCTTCTATGCTGGTCAACTTGTGCTCTGTTAGCAAATGTAACATCAGTTGGAATCTGGTAAGCCAACTGTTGAATGTCACATTCTGCTTAGTTTGGGCGATAGGAGCAATATACCTGTTCACAGCATCATTCAGTTTATTACTATACAAATATGGGCCTGCTGGCTGAGTTCCAGAATAAATGTCTAAAGTGAAAGCATAGTGAGTCTTTTCATCTACAAGGACATAAATTTTACGGCATATTTTGACGTATAGCTTTTCCATAAATCTTTCACATTCTTGTGATCACCATGAGAAATCCCTGCTAAATACAGCAAACCTAGGAATGTTTTCAGTTCAACTAGTGAGAGGTCATAATAAATACATCTTTTATTATGGCTATTGGTGCATACAGAACATTGTATTTGCACTTCAGCCCTTGCACATTTCACAGTATCTTTTAATATTTTGGCTACTACAATTTCCAACACTGAATGGGAGTGCTGGCATTCTGTCCAGCACATTTCACCCTTGCCTAGACCTTCACTATATTTTCAGACCTAGTTCTAACATTGCATTGTTTCATTTGGCTGTGTGGCAATTTTGCTTCAACTAGTCAAACAAGCAATCACAGGTTACTGTTTTCTTCATCATCTTAATCAAAGAGGTCTGCATACAGACTGTGTATCAGTTGATTCTTGTCTATTT